TACTTTAATGGAAGTTATCCTATAAAATAAACCCTAATATGCAAATCGAACGACCAGCAGATCAACCGGTTGCTATGACATGCACTGACCACCAAGGGGCAGTTGCTCAACGCAGGAGCTGCCCCTGGTTGGGGCTGATGAGTAGGCTGAGCCAGGCCACCAGCCAAGGCAGGTACCTTCAGGCCCCCCTCCCCCATCACCCTGCTGGTCGCCCCACAGATCGGCCCCTGATTGCCCACCGGGCTTAGGGACCCTACCCTATACATTGGGAACAGTCTCTTAGATTTAAAAATTAAAACCTGGCAAGGCTGTTCTAACACTGAAAAAACACACACACATAAAAACACAGGATGATGCAGCGATGACATGCATGGATTCTGGCTTGTACATTTTGAGGTCAGTCCTGATTCTAACACTTATAACTGTGTGACAAAGCCCATTACTTAACTTCTCTCTGCTTCAGTGTTTCCACCATAAGATGGGGAAATGGTACTACTGCCTCAGAAGGATCATGTTATGTACTGCTTTTTATAGTCAGGGCAAACAAATGTAGCTGCCCATACAACAGCAAGATGCCTTCCACCCGTATGAGAAGTATGGTCACTGGTGCATGCGGCGTCCCAGATTGCGAGGATTGGGCCTAAACCAGCTATCAGACATCCCCCCGGGGGTCCCGAATTGTGAGAGGGCGCAGGCCAGGCTGAGAGACCAGGGCCCCCCCCCCCCCCCCCCCCCCCCCCGCCGTTTTAAATAAAAGTTTAGGGCAAAGAAGAGAGGGTTATTTGAGAAGTAACATTGCTTTGTTAATGCAAGAAGTTATATATTAAACCCCTGTTTTGTGACCATGGGTTGGGATATGGCCCGTCCTCTGAGAAAGCTTACAGGTGAGGGAGCCTGATAAAGGGGAGGGGCTACCCAAAGGGGAGCCATCAAACTAGACTGTTAAGGTTCTGTCTCAGGCATTTGTGGTAGGCATAAGAAAAGGAGGGGAAAGCACACCACTGGGGTATGTAAATCTATATTTACTAATTTGTATGTCACCAAGCTACTTCATCCAGTCTTCTAAATTGGGGGCTGGGGGGATCACTTGTTTAAGAATTTCCTATGTTTAACAATTCTAAGATATTAGCAAGTGTCATATTTTAGTTAGGTACTGACCAGTTCATCATAAAAGACTTCAGTGCTTAACATTAAAAATAAATTGGTTACATATCTGTGCTAAGGAGCTCTAAACTTTATCAAGGTTTAGAAATAGAGGGTAATGATGATATTACTGTTCTGAGAACACAGTTTTCAAAATAATAAAAATAAAGCAGACATTAAACACAAATGATATTGAACATTGTGGAAAATGGCACTATAATGGGAGGATGTTAGTTCACTTTCCTTTGATTCTATTATTTAATGACTAGAGGCCTGGTGCATGAAAATTCATGCACTGGAGGAGGGGGTGTGTCCCTCAGCCCGGCCTGTCCCCTCTCACAGTCTGGGAGCCCTCAGAGGCGGGAGACAACTCGACAATCAGGGTAAGGCCATGCCGCACCACACCTCTGCTGTTGCCCCAGCCGACAGCAGAAGCCTCAGCTGGCCCTGGGCTGCTGGGCAGCTGCCATCTGAGGCTTGCCTGCACCTCAGGCATTGTCTGGGCAGCCGCCATCCAAGGCTTGCCTGCACCTTGGGCCAGCCCTGGGCGGCTGGGACACTCCGGAGGCAGGCACATGGAGCAGTCGGGCCTGCCTGCCACCCTGATGGGGCTGAGGGGACTGGGTGCTGCCATCTTGTGGCTATGGGCTCCACCATATTTGAAGGCATGGCAGTCAATTAGCATATTCTCATCTTATTGGCTGTGGGCGCCACCATCTTTGAGGGTGGGATAGTTAATTAGCATATTTCCTTCTTATTGGCTATGGGCACTGCCATCTTTGCAAGAGGATCAGTTAGCACATTCCCTCTTTATTAGATAGGAATAACTGTTAATTTTCATTTTCAATGTTTTTCCCAGTAAGTGGTAAGGAGTAAGGATTATAAATATGTAAACTACTGGCTGTAAAGCACTCATTAAAACAGTTGTCTTTGTTTTTCTTAAAATTCTTACTAAGATCCTTAGAAACTTTTCCTCCTCCTCTGACAATTTCCTATGGCTGATTAGCATTAAATTTATAAGCAAATATGATTTCATGGTTAAAAAAAAGTGATTCAAGATACAAACACAAAGAACTTTTGTTTAATAACTTAAGCTAAAACATGACAACATCCTATACTTCATCTTATCACTATATCTTAATGCCATTACTATGATCATCTATTGCCTATCTTCCATTTCCTATAAAGCAAAGAAACACATCTACAATGAATAGTATAGCCCAGCCAGTGTGGCTTAGTGGTTGAGCACTGACCTATATACCAGGAAGTCCAGTTCAATTCCCTATCAGGACACATCCCCATGTCTCAAGCTCAGTCCCAGTGGGGGGCATACACTATCCTTATTTTTTGGATTCTTTTTTTGCTGTCCTGATTGGGTGTTTTCTTGCTTCCTTATATTCCAACCTAGTGGTCTGGTACACAGATTCATGCACATTGAAAGGAAATTAATTAGAAGAAATATTTTAGTATTGCTATTTGCCCTTTTTCTGTAATAGAAGTGTCAACCAAATTCATGATTGATAATGACAGATTGAAACACATGTGCGATTGGTGCCAGAGAGAGCTTTACATGTATTGCACATGCACAATTTTTAAATTGCCAGTGTGTGTCATATGTACTGGATGGTCAGTCATACATATAGTTGGTCACTTAGCCTTTTATATATATAGATAGCTATTTTGATTCTCAGATTCATCAGTTTTACTATTGATTCCCTTTAAAGTATTCTTCATTTCAGTTCATGTATCCTTCATTTCTGACTGGTTCTTTTTTTATAGTTTCTTTTTCCTTTTTTATTATGTTTAAGTTTTCACTGAGTTCATTGCTCATCCTTATAACCATTGCTTTGAACCCTACATCTAGTGGATTGCTTATGTCCATTTTGTTTAGTTCTTTTTTGGAGTTTTGTTCTTTTTTTTTTTTTTTTTTTTTTCCATTTGTGACATGTTTCTTTGTCTCTTCATTTTGGTAGCATCCTGATGTTTTGTATTAGAGTTGCTATGTCTCTCAGTCTTGAGTGGCCTAAAATGTAGTAGGTTTCCTATAGGGTCCAGTGGCACAACTTCCCTAGTCACCCAAGCTGGGCATTTCAGGCCTGGGACACTTAGTCATACATATGGGGCATGCCAAGGCCAAGGGCAGTTGCCACTTGTCTTGTTTGAGAGATTTTAGGAAAAGTCTTTAGCCTGAGCCAAGACAGGCCATTGGTATGGAAAAACCACTGGAAACAGCTTGATGGGCCTGCAAGTTGGATGGGGTGGGGTCTTATGGAATCACCAAGACATGGAATGTTAGCCAGGTTGATGAAGACTCAGATACTGGTTTTGTGTGAGAAGGGCTCCAAAAAGGAACAGTGGCCTCACCTGCACTTCTGTCTGAGAGAAAAAACACCATCCCAGACGTCGCCTTGATGCCAGACAGTTCCTGGTGCCCTTCGAGCTACTGTCCCAGCAATGTAGCTCAAAGGGTGTGAGTCTGAGTAAGTCCATGTGCCAGCCCATTAAGAGGAAGGCCATTAAGAGCCCTCCTTCTCGTCTCACACAATCACAGTCCCAGCTGGTTTTTACAGCCAGAAGTTGTGGGGACTTCTCTACTTGGCACTGGAACTCGGGGCTCAGGGGCCTAGTTTGGGTCTGGGACCTCTCATTTCTTAGGGTGAACCTTTGCAGCTGAGGTATTTTTATCCATCATTTGTGGGTGTGGGACCGGCCTATTATGCTTCTCCATCCCTCCTACCAGTCTGGATGTGGCTTCTTCTGTATATCCTTAGTTTTAGGACTTCTGTTCAGCTGGATTTCAGACGGTTTTGAATGATAGTTCTATCGTTTATTTGTAATTTTGATGTGGTGGTGGGAGGATACAAGTACTGTATTTACTTACTCCACCATCTTGCCTGGAAGCCCCTGAAGTTTTCTAATTTTGTTCCTTTTCCAGCCCTTTGGATGTTATTAATACTCCAAGAAGAGAGGCTAAGTTCCCCGGGCTCTTCTGTAGCTAATGACAACTGGACTATGTCAGACTCTAGATTATCTTCTTTCCATTGTTCATTTTTTCATGCAGTTCCATGTTTTTTTTTGTGTGTGTTTTTTTTTTTTTTTTTTAAGATAAGCTTAAAATATTGTTTCTTGTCTTTTTGTTTTTCTTCAGGGAAGAAACAGTGAGAATGAATGCAAATGCATGTATAGTAGTGGGAGGGGGGAATTAGGAATAGAATTAGAGTTGGTGGGTTTGATGTATGAGACAGTTGAAAAGCAATTTATGGCAGTTTAAACTGGTAGAGGTTATGACAAAAAGTAACTGTTAAGTATAAATGGAAGTTATTAATATTACTCTGGAGATTCTATGAATTGTCATAACTTAATCAAGTTCTTTCTGTTTGTTTGAAAGATGGGTATTATTTGTTTATATTAACAGAGAACATAGTAATAATTTAGATTTATAGCTTATGAATACAATTAACAAAGTACTCCTACATTATCTTATTTGGCAAGCATCTCCATGTTATAGATAGGAAAAGCTCTTATGCAATAAGTAGTGGCTCTTTTACTAAACACTTAGGTATTCTGAAGAATGCTGCATTCACCCTGGCCACGTCATGGGTTTGATCCCTGGTCCGAGTGTGGGAGGCAGCTGATCGAGACATTTCTCTCACTTCAATGTTTCTTTCTCTCCTTTCCTCCTTAAAATAAATAAATAAATAAATAAATAAATACTACATTGAGTATGTCTGAGGTAGAATGAAATAAATATATTGATTTCTTGGATTATTAAATGGAAGATATGTGCATTATGTTAGGAAGGAAATGCATTTTAGGGTTTTGTCATTTTCTTAAATGTTTGTATTTTTTATTTCTAGGCTGTTCGCTGCTACGAATCTCTAATCTTAAAAGCTGAAGGAAAAGTGGAGTCTGATTTCTTTTGTCAATTAGGTCACTTCAACCTCTTATTGGAAGATTATCCAAAAGGTAATTTTTCCCCTTGTTAATTACTGTTTGATTTATATATGTGTTTAAAATAATTGTAATAGTTTGCACCCTATCTTTATCAAGGCACTTCCAATTTTACTTATAAAAAATTGTAAGCTTATGAACATCCTAAATGAGAAGACAAGAAAGAAAGAAAAAGGCAGGATAGATGGAAATGTGAAGAATTCATGTAACTCAACACAAACTCAGCATTTCGCTTCTTTATCCTGGCTATAGAACTTCCATCTTAGCTAGACAGTATTTGAACAAAAATGTACCCTTTTTATTTCACCAAACTTTTGATCCCCCGACCATTACTCAGTTAGAAAGTTAAAAGCACCGGTAAATATTATCTCCCTCAATACCAAAAGCAAAATCTATAGCAAATAAAAACTGCATCTTTATAAGCAAAAAACATTGTAACCTTTTGATCATAGGAAACAGGGCTAGAGTGAAGGATTGCTGGGATTTAGTGTTGATGTTTTATTATGCCACTTTTGTGTTAAGTCAAGTGAACACTTTTAATGAAAATGCAATTTTAGTTTGAGACAGGTGTAATCTATGGATTTTGGAGTTAGGCCTGCTTATTTATTTATTTATTTATTTATTTATTTATTTATTTATTACTTATAACAGCTTATCTATTGTTTGCCATTAGCTGCATTACCATTAGCAGAATATATATATATATATCTATCCCAGCACTCTGTCTTCTAATCTCTAAAATGAGGGGAGGAGGCGATAGTTGAGACGTTTTGGGATTGCTTTGTGAAACTAGTTCGTATTTAGCAAGTTGACTCCAGGATAACAGGCATTAATGATTATTTAATATTCTATTAGATTTTTTAATTTTAATTAAATTAGTAAGTTATTTAAAGGAAACCATTATACAAAAGAAACATAATAGATATCTGTGCAATTAATTATTTAATGCTGCACTTTTTTTTTTTTTTTTTGTACAGCACATTAATTTGAGAGCACATTAATAGAGACCCAAACTTGAAAATTAGGTTTGCATGTGGGCCTTATGTCCTTACTGCTTATAGATCATTAAAATATGTATTGGCTTTGAAAACTATTAGTTTATGAATTTAGCTACATTTTCCACTTATAAAATGTTTGGTGGTGAAGGTAATGAAGAATACAAAACTATTTGTTTTGGAAGGTGCTTTTTTCTTTTTTGGAAGGTGAGGTAAGGGGCATGTGGCAGCTGGACTGTGTGGGCAGACTAGCTGGAGGAAATGATCTGGTAAAATAGGAAAAGAGAAAGATAACCTAAGAATTTAAGTCTTTGAAAAGATGTGCTCTTAGACCCATTTACCATTGTGTAGAGAACTGGTCATTCATACTGGTCGGCAGTAGGTAGATTCTTTGTTCTAGGAAGAAGAGGAATGAGGATAGATGCAGAGTTATACACAATATGTATTTTAAGTATTTCTAGCTGATGCTCTATTTCCTAGATGTTAATTATGTGTGTTTTTTAATCCTTCTTGAAGTTTTATTGGCCACGTTCTCACGTAAAAAAATTCCTTTTAAAATACCAGTTATTGAATTATTTCCATTTATTCTCTTCACTGTCTTCCTGTAAGTCCAAAACTAGTAGTCCTCACATACCCTACCACCACCACCACCACCACCACCACCACCACCACCACCAGTTGATGGGAACATTTGTTACCTCAGGCTGCTTCATTTTTCTCTCTGGAACCAGGACAAGATGTAAACCTCCAACCCCAGCCAAATAAATATGTATTTTTAGAGAACAGATTATATAGCGTAACTTTTTGGGAAGTAAACAATAAAACTTTCAGTGATTAAACTGCTCAGGTATATGCATATGGGGACTTACTGGCCCTGCTATTGTGAAGACAGTTCTTTATTGTCCCGAGTCGTCATTGTTGTGTGAACTTTTCTGAGTTTGGATTTCCTTGTGAAAAACTGATTCTATTTTTATAGTAGAAAACGGTGGAATTCTACTCTTTTTTTGTATACATTTTTGGACTGTGGTTTTTCTCCTCTTTGTCATTCTGATCCCATCTGTTTCCTGTCTTACAGGAATTCCTAAAAATTTTCTGATCTGCAGATGGTATACTTTATCATTACTATTATCGATTTATTCATTAAAATATTTTTTTCTGTCATTTTAGATCAATTTGAAGCAGAAGGAAAAAAGGCTTTGTGAAACTTAAGCCTTTCTTGTTGATAATGTGTATAGTTTAAAAACATTGCTATCACTTGATTAGGTCATTTGACTTCTAGAAATTTATCCTAAAAAAGTAATTGGTCTATTGTAGGTTGGATTCATCTAGAGCAGTGATTCTCAACCTTCCTAATGCCGTGACCCTTTAATACAGTTCCTCATGTTCTGGTGACCCCAAAACATAAAATTATTTTCGTTGCTACTTCATAACTGTAATTATGTTACTGTAATGTAAATATCTCTGTTTTCCTATTTCCTTCAATCGACTCGTGGCCTAGAGTTAGAAAGTATAATTGAGAAATAACTGCAATAAGCACAATAGTGACCATACCAAGCTTGTCAGAAGCCTGTGTCCAGTCAACAAGCAAAAGTTACAGTAGCTTCAAGAACCAGGGAGCTGGTGGCAGAACATATTGAAAGAACACAAAGAGGACACCTACTGGTGTCTCTTGTGGTAAGCTGAATGTGAGATACAAAGACATTGCGCTAGTATTTTAATAATGACAAGGAAGTATTAAATCTTAGATTTCAGTAGATGTATTATATTGACTTGAAGACCTCAGCGAAAATACTGACACAGGAGTAAACTTTTCTAATTTCCTGTTTTCTCCTCTCTATAATCTGAAATCTTTTCAGACTTGCAGAGAGACAGGAATATGGGATCAAAGGTCTGTTGTGATAGATGCTGTCCAGAGGTCTTTCAAATGTTAATATGTATTAATATATATTAATGCTATATATATATATATATATATATATGACGGAAGGTGTAGATTTGAAAAGGTAGAAAGGTGACTAGAGAGCTAGTCATTTATATACAATGCAACAGTTAATATAAGCTCTCTGAGATAGCATTTATCCCATGGTATAAATACAGTTTTTCAGTTCAGCCACAAAAAAACAAAGAAATCTATTGACTAATAACCTTAGGCAAGCACAACCTGTTCTGGCTTAAAGATGGCAGGCACTGCAACTGACAGATTTTGTGTGTTTTTCTTTCCTTTCCTTCCCTTTCATACCCATAGATTCACCCACTAGCAGCTAACCTGCTGCCTACAGTGTTACACATTGGGTTAGGGATGAAAAGAGAAATGCTGAGTTCTGCCTGACGTAAATGTATGGCCTAATATATAATAAAGGAGTTTGGATTGAATTTTAAATTCTTTCTGTATTGTGTTTATAGTGCATCTGACTCTGAAGAAGACTCACTCTTTCTGGCAGAGCTATCACCCTTAACCTACAGTGTCGTTTCTTTTAATCTTTGTGCTGTCTGTATGGACTGGTCACTAGGCATGCTTTCTTTCTATTCTTTTGACAGCCTTACCTTAGAGCCATAATGTTTCCAAGCATGTCCAAGTCTGTGTCACCTACTAAATCTTTATTTCTTTTTATTTTCTCACTCTGCTTCTATAGATCTCTATTTTATTTAATTCCAAACGAGTTGTAGAATGGCTTTGGATTTTTCTTTTTATTCTTCAGTTATACCGTACACCCCCTCCCCCTTTTATCATTACCCGATGACATGTTTGTTTGTTTTTAAATTGAGAGAGAGAGGGAGGGAGGCTCATTGGTTGACATCATCTTTATGCCAAAAATGAACATTATTTAAATAAGTTACTTATTCAGATAAGTTATGCTTTGGCTATTGCTTCTCTAATTTGAATATATTCATAAAGTTCTCTATGTTATTCATATGTATTTAGGCGCTTGACTGATAAACTATGAAAACATTAGAAATGGAACTTTAGAACATACTTATTTCCATTTTCCTGTTTTACTCTTTGAAAATCTTATTTGAAAATCTAAGAGTCATTTTTAAAAATTGAGGTATAATTGAAATATGATATTAGTTTCAGGTGTACAGCATTTGGTATTTGTATATATTGGAAATGATCACAGAAAATAGAGTTAACATGCATCACCATACATAGTTACAAAATTTTTTTTCTTGTGATGAGAACATTTAAGATTTGCTCTCTTAGCAACTTTTAAATATAGTTACCATGTTGTACATTATGTCCCTATGACTTATTTATTGCTCATCAGTTTTTTAAAATGTGATCTCTGCCTATTCTAATATGTACATATATAACTTTTTGTTTGCCTTTTAACTTCCTCCTCACCAAGTTCTGAGATTCATAGGAACTACTTTAATTTTTTTCTGAGCCCTTTATACCTTGTGGTAGATTTAAGGGTATAGGAGATCCTGTTTTGGAATTGAGTTGGAGTAAGGTAATTCTGAGGTGGGTTTCTTGTTGACTGTATGAAAGGAAGCTGCACAGACAAAATAGCTCTTTTGCCATTTGAGGTTTTTGAGCTCTTAGTCATTCTTGTAAGTTAAAGATCCCTTGTGAGAACAAATAACCTAGCATATTCTGAAGTAGCATTGAAACAGTCTTAATTCTCTTACCAGATTTGGTCTCTGTGGAAGGTCAAGTTGATGAAAGAGGTAGCCTAGATTCTGTTCATGTACAGATCTGACATGTGACCATGGTTTTACAACCTTGAACTCGATATATTTGACAATGAGTGTGTGTGTGGGGTAGACTTCTAAATTTTCTGAATTATTTCATCTTAACTGCTGGAAGCTGGGTTTGGTGGGAAGTTTGTTATAATGTTTTTTTTTTCATGTTTCTTGAATTATTGATTTTGAAATAGGACATAATTGTGACTCATACTTACCTTTCTCCTTTCAGCATTATCTGCATACCAGAGGTACTACAGTTTACAATCTGACTACTGGAAGGTGAGTGTTTCTCTGTGTGTTTTTGGGGGGTGGAGGAGAGGTGGGCAGGGTTCTTTTATTTTGTTTATTAAGTAATTTTGTTAATTACTTTAAAATATTACTTTCAGGGAAGGGGGTTGGAAAAGGAAAAATGAATGTACTTTTTGCTCTTTTGTATGAATCACTTCGTATTTTATTAAAAGAATTAGATTACTCTGACACAGATCTTTTGACCAAAGGTGACCTTAAGCATATGAATTTATAATTTAAAAAGTTATGTTTGCATTGATTTCACAGAGGAAGAGAGGGAGATGGAGGGGGAAGGGGGGAAAAGAGAGAGACACAGATATACATATATATATAGAGAGAGGAGGGGGGAGAATGAGAGAGAAAGAAAGAGAGAAACATCGTTGTGAGAAACATTGATTGACTATCTTGCACACCCCCTGCTGGGAATTGAGCACACAACCTGGGCATGTGCCTGACTGGGAATTGAACCAGCGACTTAGTGCATGGGACAATGCTCAACCAACTGAGCCACACTTGCCAGGGCATAAGTGTGAGAATTTAAAAGCAAGCAAGGCCAAGTTGTAACAATATTCTGTATCAGGCTGAAAAGGGAAGGCATAATGGGAAAATTTTAATGGAAATTTTCTTGGTATAGTCTGTCTATAATTGGAGTTCAGAAGACAATGGAACATAACCATTTTTTTTTAAAAGACCTACCTAAATGAAGAATTGTGCACAGCAGTGACCATTTATTTTCCTAGTTTAAGCTGTGCATAAATTTCCTTGGGCAGTTTCATGTTTTACATCATGCATATTTTATGTATACATTTATTCACCAGTGGGGTTTCTTTATCTGAATTGACATATCAGATTTTTAAGATGGATTTTTGTTTTTCTGTTGCCTAGTTTATCTTTCTTTTTGACTGGTTGAATTTTAAAAAAATGCATTTTAGTAAAATTTTTTTAATGCATTGAAAATGTCTGCTCTATTCTGAGGCTTATCTTCCTTCTAAAAAGTTTATTGGAATATAATTTACATACCATAAAACTCAATGTTTTAACTATGCAATTCAGTGACTTAGTAAATTTCCAGAGTTGTACAAACATAACCACAGTCTCATCTTCCCATAATGAAACCTCATGCCCATCCCCTGGCAAGTACTGATCTACATTCTGTATGTATCTGTATTTTCAGGGTATTTCATGTAAATGTCATATAATGTGGTTTTTGTGACTTGTTCTTTTCACTTAGCATATGTTTTCAGAGTTGTTTCAGTTATAGCATGTATTAATACTTTATTCCTTTTTACTCTCTAATTTTGGCTTTTCCTAAATGTCACCCAACTTGATTCAAACGACACATATTCTTTTGCTTTGGATATTTTTTATTCATCTTGCCATTTTTTGAGATTCATTCATATTATATGTATTAATATTGTGTTCCTTTTGTTGTTAAATAGTATTTCATGCAATATTGATACCACAGTTAATTTTTCCTTTTACCAGTTGATAGGTATTTGGGTTCTGTCCACTTTTTGGTCAAATATGAATAAAGTAATGTGAACATTCTTTGTCTTTGTAAGGTCATAGGTTTTTGTTTTTGTTTTTTGTTTGTTTGGTTTTTGTATATACACCTAGGATTTGGAAATCCTGGGTTATACTGTCCTCCGCATCCTACCTGTTGCCAGTGGAAGTGAGCTTCTTGGGATGTCACAAAAAAAGGAATTTTCTGAGACTTGCGTGGGAGAACGAGTGGCATTTATTTGTGTGGAATTCAATCCTGAGTTTCCCAGGCCCCATCTCCCTGTGGCCCACCAAGGACCATGCCCACGCTGTCTTCGCAGGGCGGGATGAAAGCCGACGCCCAGAGTTTCCACTCCAGTTTGCACAGCCCAGCACCAGGCTAGTTTGGCCTGTGTTCCCAGCTGCAGTCCAGTGCGTGCGGGGTCTGCATGGTCCACGCGGCTGTGGAGGGAACACTGGGAAGCAGGAGGCAAGCCAGAGCAACAAAAGAAGAATGTCGTTGTCTGGGCATTGTGTATTCTCAGATTCCATGAGCCAGTTATCTTTGTTTCGGTGAGACTGACGGGCAAGTGCCTTCCCTGCATCGTCCTGACTCCCTGCTCATGTGGCCGACTCCTCCTTTGTCGGGTCCTTTCCCCAGGGACCTGCAGGGAATGGATGGTGGGTCCTGCGATGTGTGCCATCGCAGCTTCCTGGCGAAGCTGCCCAGATGGCCGTGCTTCTAATGTCTGGCCTTCCTTTGCTTCTTTCCTATTATTCAATTAATAGCTACCTCATTGCAGCGGTCACAACATTGCAGTTGTAAGTTTAAATGCCAAACTGCTTTCCAAAGTGGCTGCAGTGTTTCAGATTTCAATTAGCAATGAATGAGATTTCCAGTTGTTCTGCATCTCTTCTAGTACTTGGTATTGTCAGTTTTTTTTTAACTTTAGCCATTCTAGTAATTAAGTAGTGGTTTTTCATTTTCTTTTTATTTGCCTTTCCCTGATAATAGTGATGTTGAGCTTCTTGTATATGCTATTGGCCTTTTGTATTCCTTTTTTTAAACTGCCTATTCATGTCTTTTGCTCATTTTTTTTCTCATTAATTGAGTTGAATAGGCTCTTTACATACTCTGGATAAAAGCTCTTTATCAGGCATATGGTTTGGAAATTTCTCCCAGGCTGAGGCTTGCCTTTCTGTTTTCTTAATTTTTTAATTTTTTATTAAGGTATTATATGTGTACATATCTTACCATTGCCCCTCCCAATTCCCATACATGCCCTCACCCACAATGTTTTGCATACTTTGGTTATGCTTATATGCATGCATACAAGTCCTTTGGTTGATCTCTTATCTGCCCCACCTCTCCCTATCCTTCCTGCTGTCATTTGACAGTCTGATGCTTTACTGCCTCTGTATCTATCTTTTTGTTCATCAGTTTATAATGTTCTTTATTATCCACAAATGGTGAGATCATGTGGTATTTTCCTTTCATTGACTGGCTTATTTCACTTAGCATAATGTTTTCCAATTCCATCCAGGTTGCTATAAATGGTAATTAATTGTACCTTTTGAGTAGTGACTGTTATGTAATTTTGATGAAGTTCATTTAATCAGTTTTTTTCTTTTATAGCCCCTGATTTTGTGTTCTGTTAAGAAATCTTTGCCTATCCCAAGATTATAAAGTTTCTTCAGCTTTCTTTCCTAGAATTTCTATAGTCACAATGATTATGTTTGGGCTTATGGTACACTTCAAGTTGTCAGGTTGTTCACGATGGGAGATAATCAGCAATGTGTGGCTTCCCTGCGTCCCCCTGAGTCAGATTGATAACCCCGTTCCATCGTCACCTGGTGCAAAGACTATCCTTTCAAAATTGAATTACCACATGTTCTTTGATAAAAATCAATTGGCCGTTTAATTTTGTGTGCATTTCTAGATCCTCTGTTATGTTCCAGTTATCTGTGTCTGTTTTTAAGCCACTAGCACCCTGTTTTGTTGCTGTAGTCTTGAAATCAGGCACTGTAAGTTCTCGGTGGTCTTTTTCAAATTGTGTGGTTTTTGTTTGTTTTGCCTTCCACATAAAGTTTAAAAGCAGCTTGTCAATTTATCCTGCTGAGGTTTTCATTGGCACCACATTATTTGCATAAAACAATATGGGAAGAATTTCTACTTTCTTCTTTAAATTAAATCTTTATTGTTGAAAGTATTACATTATTTTAATAATAATGCATTTACTAATCCAGGAGCATGGTATAGCTCACCATTTATTTAGGTCTTTAATTTCCTTCAGCAATGTTTGATAGTTTTCATTGAAGTTTATTGAAGTTTTAAAGTTTATTTCTATTTTACTTTTTTGATGTGATTGGAGGCATTGGAAAAGTTTACTTTCACTGTTTGTTGCTATTATCCTGGAGCACAGTAGATGATTGTACACTTACTTAGCAGCCTTCTATTTTGATAAGCTAATTACTAGTTCTAGTAGCTTTGCTCTAGATTTCTTTGGATTTTCTGTGTACTTCATCATGCTGTCTGCAGTTAAAGGCAGTTTTAATCTTTCCTTTCTGGTTTGTAGATACACTTTAATTTTTGTTTTTGTTGTTGTTGCCTTGTTGGATTAACAAGGAACTTTGGTACAGTGTTGAATATAAGGGAATATCCTTTTGTTGTTCTTTTATCTTTGTAGGAAAACATTCAGTTTTCCCTATTGAATATGATATTAGCTGTAAGGTTTTTGCAGATTTATATTGAAGAAGTTCTCTTCTGTCACTAGTTTTACTTGGAGGTTCTTCCGCATCCCCCCAGTTATAATGAATATATAATGAATTTGTCGCATATTATTACTCTTCATCTACTGAGATCCTCTGGATTTTTAAGAATGTGTTAATATGCTTAATTAAATTGCTTGGCTCTTCAGACAGTTTTCGATGAACTCCTTTTAGTCACCGGTGTTTTGTTGCTGGCTTCAGGGTAGTAATATTTTGTTAAGGATTTTGCAGTTTTGTTCATAAGTGATGTTACTTTCTAATTTTCTTCATGTGACATGATTTTTGCATCAGGATAATTTTGGCCTCGTAAAATGAGTTGGGAATTGCTCTTTTCTCTATCGTATGTGTAGGATTGGTATTATTTTTTCCTTAAAAGTTATCCAGAATTTATTAGTAAAGTCATCTATTTTGTGTGTGTGTGTGTGTGTGCGTGTGTGTGTGTATGTGTGTGTGTGTGTGTGTGTGTGTGTGTGTGTGTGTGTGTGTGGAGAGCGAGCTATTTAGTTTTTATATTTATTTATCTTTACTAGTAGCCCATCGTGCGATATTGCATGCAATAGACTGCCCGCCACTTCCCCGGGAGCCGGCGGAACCATAGCAGGTGCCGGGAGGGACCCACACCAATTCCACAGGAGGCGGGAGGGAGCTGCACTGCTTCCATGGGAGGTGGCCCGCTGTCTCCTCTCCCCCCCAGCGCTCGGCTGTGGAGGCTGCAGGCCGGCCCCCTATCCAACAGAGGCCCTGGCCGCTCTGCACCTGTTGCCCAGAGGCCCTCTGGGGCAACGAAGCAAGCATTCTGCCAAGCCACTCACGCTACCCGCTCTCAGTGGATGCCTCCTCCTCCCCCTTCCTCAGGATTGGGGAACTCTGGTAGGGCTGAGGGTACTGGGTGCTGCCATCTTGTGGCTATGGGTGCCATCATCTTTGGAGTGGCACTTATTTTGCATATTGCCCTTTTATTAGATAGGATTGTTAAAAGTATTACAGGTGTGTTCTCCTCCCCCACATTGACCTCCTCCACATGACTCCTGCCCCCGCTGCCCCCCAGGCCTTCACCACACTATTGTCTGTATCCATGGGTTATGCATAACTACACTAATAAAAAGAAAACATGCAAATTGGCCATCACTCCGCTACACCCACCACCCAATCAGGAGTGAGTATGCAAATTAACCCACCAAAGATGGCAGTGGCCATGGAGTTGGAGTGAGCAAGGGGCTTGGGTTGCCCCTAGCGATCCAGGAAGCCAAGCTTCCTAGCCAGCCCTGGCCTCTACTCAAGGCTACAAAGTTTCAATTATAGAAGATAAATAAATCCCAGATACCTGCTTCCAGCCCAGCCCTGGCTTCTGCTCAAAGGAGGTGCTGAGGAAAAAAAAGGAGAGGCTGGGAGCTTGGGTCTCCCAGGAATGTTTCCAGCCTGCAAACAGCCATCAGCCCTTCACACAGACTAGCCACACCCCCATGGGGTGAGTGTCCCCACTGGGGGGCTTTGCCAGCCTGCAAACAGACATCAGCCTCTCACCAAAGCTGGCGAGATCCCTGTAAACGGGCAGTCGAATATCCCTCGAGGGGTCCCAGATTAGAGAGTGTGCAGGCTGGGCTGAGGAACAACCCCTCCCCCCCTGCACGAATTTTGTGCACTGGGCCTCTAGTATGCATATAAATTCTTTGGTTAATCCTTCACCTCTTCCCTCTGAGATTCCATAGTCAGATGCTTCATTGTCAGTTTATTTTGTTTATTAGATTCAATATAAAAGTGAGATCATGTGGTTGGTTGTAGCTGGGAATTTATTGTTATGCACTTAATTTCATAATCTTTTGTCATTAGGTTGTAAATTCATTAGTGATAGGGGATCTTTGCCTATTTTGTTCACTATTGTCTTCCCAGTGCTGATAACTCTGCTATGGCTCATAATAGCGGCTCAATAGAGGTTTGAATTACGTTGTTAGCTGTTAATGAAAAATGAAACTTAACTTCTTGCCTCAATGTATAAGCTTCAAGTTAGTAGGGACCATGCCTATTAATTCTGTGTCATTTAGGGAACTGAGCTTAATAACTGAGCTTAAATACTGTGATGTAAAGTGATTCACTTTATTAAACTTTTGGGTATCTGCAATGTCAGGGATAGGGAATCATTTTTCTGCCAAGGGCCATTTGGCTATTTATAACATCATTTGCTTAATATAATTCACTTAATATAAATTTATGTTGCTATGAAAAAAGCTCCTAGGTTTATTAAATTTTAAGTCCCGCTGTGGTTTCCTTGGCAGGGCCAGACCAAATGTTTTCCTGGGCCTTATGGCACGGGGGTGGACATTCCCCACTGACAACAGGGGATACACAGATGCTCAGCACTCTTGCCTTTATGGTATTTTTGTCTTGGATTATTTTGTCAAATAACAAAAATATAGTAGTCAAGAGTAAGCTCTGGAAGCAGACATAGATTCAGTTCCTACGTCTGCTACTCAATACCTATTTCTTTGAACAAGTTGCTTAATCTTTCAGATCCTTCTTTCTTCACTCTACAAATGAGGCCTTCTACCACCTTAAAGGGTTGTTAGGACCTTTTAAAAAGAAATGTTAGCATTTTGCATAAAATTAGATGCTTATTATTATATAATAATCTTCTATATCTATATCTATATATAGATATAGATATATATATATAAAAGCCTAAGTGACCAGCAGACTAGCTGACTGGCTGGTAGCTATGATGCTCAATGACCACTATGAGGCAGATACTCAGCGCACAGGCATGGAAACATGGAACATACTGATCAATCTCAGAGGGAATGGAGAGGTGGTGGTGGGGGGGGGAGGGGGAAAGAAGAGATTAACCAAAGATCTTATATGCATACTAGAGGCCCATGCACCAGTGGGTTCCCTCAGCCTGGCCTGCAGGGATTGGACCAAAACTGGCAGTCCAACATTCCGTGAGGGGTTCCAGATTGTGAGAGGGCGCAGGCCAGGCCAAGGGACCCCACCAGCACCGGGCCTCTAATATCTTCACTAATAAAAGGGTAACATGCTAATTGAGTACCTTGGCGATGCGCACCAGCCAATCAGAAGTGACTATGCAGATTAACCCGAAAAAGATGGTAGATTAATTTGCATATGCAGGCACCAAGAGGCCAGGGGCATTCTGCTCCGGGCCTCTGGGCAACGTGGGAAGGCGAAAAGGCTATGCCAGGCTGGAGCAAAAAGGCAGCTCTGGCCAGAGTGAAGGCGGTGCCAGCAGCCAGGAGAAGGAAGGGCCATTTTTGCATCGGGCCTCTAGTATACAATATATTATATATCAAAGCCTAATGTGCAGTGTCCTCTTGGGAGTTCAACTGGGAGACCTGGAGTTCGATGGTTTGCTTTGATGTGTGCTGACCACCAGGGGGCGCATGGAGCAAAGGGAGGCCCCAGCCAGCAGCTAGAAGGCACTGATCAGCCCTGACCACCAGCCAGACCTAGGGACCCAACCTGTGTATGAATTTCATGCACCAGGACTCTATGTTATATGATAGAGACATTATGCTAAGGCCAAAGTTAAAGGTTGGAATGGTTACCTCTAGTGAAGTAGTTGAAGTAGCAGAGCTTCCATGGGAAAGATAACATTTAAAATGGATCTTGAATAACTGATAGAATTTATACAGTGACATGGATGTGTAAGATTTCCTAGAGGGGAAAGGATGAACTATCAATAAAGTGAGGCAGTTGGGAGAATTCAGGGCGTGTCCTGAAAGCAGAAATACTCCTCAATAAACTCATATTTCCACCATACCCCACACCACCTTCCCTGGGCAATTGCCTAAATTGGAGAAAGATGTTGTCTATTTTTATTCATGTGCTTCCTTTCCCTTCATCACCTCTACCTAAGAAGACAGTTGTCTTTCAAACTAGACTTTCTGGGGAGAGCATTTGTTGACTTAACTACTACTTAAGTTAACTAATCCTGTGTTCTGAATATCCCCGTTCTCTCCCCCATGTTCTGCACATACTGAGTGCATGCTTTTTGAGGGCCAGAGAAGTATATTTTAATCAGTTTGGCCTGTGCAACCTTTTGGTATTGTCCCTGACACCTAGTAAATCCTCAGTTTATTCCAGGGCATGGGGTGGTAAATAAATGATACTGATTAAAACCATTTCCAACTAGATTAAATTTTTTTTTTAAATGAACTTTTGAAATAGATGTCTGAAACTTTGCAAATACCAGCATTTGTGAATACTCCTATAGCATGTAATTTTCTCAATTGGAAAGTTGGGGTTAATGAGGAATGAATGAAATTAAATTTTCATACTTAGTACATTTTAAAAGATGCACTTAAACATTTCCCAGTGTTTCCAAAAAGGTACTTAGAATTCAAAGGAAGTGCACAATATAACCCCAGAACAAATTTTAGTATTAACAAATAGCTGAATACCAAAATCTTAGCCATGTGTTTGCACTTTGGGGTTTAGGCATCACATTCTTTTTTCCAAACAATAACTGGCAGCGTTGGGATCCATACTCTAGGTTCCTCACCCCTAGGACAAGATGACTCTGAGGAACGTTTACTGTCTCCTGGGGATTCCCAGTGTCACTGATGTTTAAAACCCCAAATAGAAGTGGCTAGGTGTCATTTGAGCGTGTGATTTATTTTTAATACTAAAATTTGTTCTAGGTTTATATTGTACATTTACTTTCAGTTTGGACTGTCTTCTTAATAACACTGACATAAATCAAATCCAGCTCAAGAAACAGAAAGAACTAGAGAAAAAATACAGATGCAAGCAAGAGATAATAAGATAGCGTAGTCCAAGCATTTTCTTATTCCTGAATAATAGGTTTTTGTTGTAGTCTTGCCCATAGAATTCTGCTGATGAAATTTTTTTTTATATTTCAGGACAGGTTTGATTAAAAAGAAACCAGAGAATCTCATCTAATTGATTGGATTCCATGCCTTTGCTGACTCATCTGATTTCAGTGCTTTAAAAATGTTTCTCAAATATTTTGTAATGCAGGATAAAGTTTTCATAACTTAAGACATCCTGGATACCATGTTTTATGTTAATAATGTCATATGCATTAAACGTAAGTGCTTTTCCTAAAACTCTTTTCCCCTTTCTTTACAGAATGCTGCCTTTTTATATGGTCTTGGTTTGGTCTACTTCCATTACAATGCATTTCAGTGGTAAGTTATTTCTAGTAAATGGCTTGTTTTAATTTTTGGTGTGTTTTGTTTAAGTGTGGGTAAAAAAGTAGATTTATAGTTGTGAGAACGTGAAACAGAATTTATTCTTGCATTATTACGTATTATTGTATTATTTTTCATATGAACAACTGTAAATTTACTTTTGCCCTACCCTGAATTGTGTGTGTAAAAAAGACAACATATTTTAATGTTCATATGACTATATTTTTCAATAATCTCTTGAAATTATTAGATATTCCTTCAGAGATACTGAACCACTTCACATATAAGAGTTGCATGTGTCTCTGAAAAAATCTGGCATGAGATGATAATTAAAGGAGGCTTAGATTAGAAAGCTGGTAGAATTTCTCAGGTCTTCATTATGGACCAGTGGTCCCCATGCTATTTGAACTGGGGAATGACTTGCATGCTGATATAAAGATCTATGGGTAAATTATGATGACCAGTACTTTTTTTTTTTATTGATTTTTTATAGAGAAGAAGAGAGAGAGACAGAGAGTTAGAAACGTCGATGAGAGAGAATCATCGATCAGCTGCCTCTTGCACACTCCCTACTGGGGATGTGCCCGCAACCAAGATACATGCCCTTGAGCGGAATCGAACCTGGGACCTTTCAGTCCGCAGGCTGACGCTCTATCCACTGAGCCAAATCGGTTTTGGCTGATGATCAGTACTTTTACCTTTTCAGACTTTTAGACAAGATTGACTACTCCCTCCCCTTCCTCTCCCAACCCACACGCAATAGGAGGGAAAAAGTGTCACAGGGTCTGGAGTGATGATAAGAAGATTGGCTAGAGAGCGCAAAAGAGCCAGGAGGTAGCAGTACATTAGCAGATGCCAATGTCAGTAACCCAGTGTATGGTACTTCTAATTTAGCCTTCCATTTAAGGCCCTCTCTGGTTCAAGGATCAGATAATCCTTTTAGCCTCACTGCTCCATTCGCTAAATATGTTCTTTATGTCAGTCACACTGTATTATTAACGTTCCCCTGAAAACATCTTGAGCACTTTTTAACCTATGTAACCTTGTTTGTGCCATCTACTGTTTGGTCTGCCTTCTCTTTCCATCACTACCTTTAAAAATCTTACCTGTCTCTTTGATTACTTCATCAAATCTACCTGTGTCACTTAAAGGGAACCTCTAAATTTCCTAATAAATATGCGTGGAACTATATATCTGTTATATACATATAAAATGTTATTACTGATTCAGAGCTAGAATACTATCCCTTTTAGATATTCCTGAGGGAACTCTCTGGACCAGCTTTATTAGCCTCAGAGAACTTAAGAGTTTTGTTGTCTCTTCCCAAATGTACTGAAACTGTGCTACGGCCATTTAGTTAATATCATTTTTGATATAGTTTTAAAGGAGACTTTTTAAATGACTTTCTTGAAATCTTATTAAAAGTGACCATTGTTTTAAAATATATTTAGCACATCCATGTTTTCCAGAGGTAGTGCTATTGAGGTCTTAGCTTTCTATAATTTCTTTTTTTAAATTGTTAGCAATGGCATACATTAAATGCAAAAAAAAAAAAAAAATAAGCTGAAAAACTATAGAAATAATTTTGGTGATATAAAATAATCTTTTTAAATTTTAAGAAAAAGTGCCAGTGATATGAACTTTTCTGTTTCAGTAGAGAATATGCTCTAATATTTGAAAACTATAAATCCCCACATTGTATCAAAAGTGTTTTATAGTTTTCCCTAGCTATTTCTCATGTTCTAAAATTCTCTGTCAATCAGAATTTGTATGCTTTGGTTTTTTAGTTAGCTGTGCTATAGAGAGTATGTTCTGGCTGCATGCAGTTTGGTGAGGTGAATGTGGTAAAATGATGACCAAATTTAAAATGTAGTCTGAGTGTTACCTATTTTCTCCATGTACTCCACCCCTCTCCTCCCCAAAACACACACACACACACACACACACACACACACACACACACACATACACACACACACACACACACACTTTCCACCATTTCTCTATTCCTTTGTTCCCCTCAGGTGGGAAAAAATGAAGAAGCACACAGGAGATAAAAGTCAGCCTGGCTTGTGGCTGAGTAGCCCTTCCCCTGTTAGGAGTGCACTGACCACCAGGGGGCAGCTTCCGCATTGAGCATCTGCCCTCTGGTGGTCAGTGCACGTCATAGAGACCAGTTGTTCCTCCGATCAATTTGCATATTGCGCTTTTATTATATAGGACTAGAGGCCCGGTGCATGGAATTTGTGCATGGGGATGTTGTGTGTCCCTCAGCCCAGCCTGCACCCTCTCCAATCTGGGACCCCTCGAGGGATGTCCGACTGTTCGTTGAGGCCTGCACCTAAACGGGCAGTTGGACATCCCTCTCACAATCCAGGACTGCTGGCTCCCAACTGTTCGCCTGCCTGCCTTCCTGATTGCCCCTAACCGCTTCTGCCTGCCAGCCTGATCACCCCCTAACCATTCTCCTGCCAGCCTGATTGATGGCTAACTGCTCCCCTGCTAGCCTGTTTGCCCCTAACTGCCCTTCCCTGCAGGCCTGGTCATCCCTAACTGCCCTCCCCTGCAGGCCTGGTCATCCCTAACTGCCCTCCCCTGCAGGCCTGGTCCCCCTAACTGCCCTCCTCTGCAGGTCTGTTCCCCCTCAACTGCTCTCCCCTGAAGGTCGGTCCTCCCCAACTGCCCTTCCCTGCAGGCCCGGTTGCCCCCAACTTCCCTCCTCTGCCGACTTGGTCACCCCTAACTGCCATCCCCTCCAGGCTTGGTCGCCCCCAACTGCCCTTCCTTGCAGGTGTGGTCCCTCTCAACTGCCCTCTCTTGCAGGCCTGGTGCATCCCAAATGACCTCCCCTACAGGCTTGGTCGCCCCCAACTGCCCTTCCTTGCAGGCGTGGTCCCTCTCAACTGCCCTCCCTTGCAGGCCTGGTGCATCCCAACTGACCTCCCCTACAGGCTTGGTCCCTCCAAACTGCCCTCCACTGTTGGCCATCTTGTGGGGGCCATCTTGTGTGCAAATAGTTGCAAGATCTTTGACCATATTGTGTGTTGGAGTGATGGTCAATTTGCATATTACTCTCTTATTAGACAGGATTAGATTCTGTACATTCAATTATGTGAAATACTCAGATGCCCCTTTCCAGTCTTTTTAAAAAAAATTATTCATTCACATCATTTTTATAAAACTGCATTTCCTTTTTAAAAAAATATATTTTATTGATTTTGTACAGAAAGGAAGGGAGAGTGATACAGAGTTAGAAACATCAATGAGAGAGAGTCATTGATCAGCTGCCTCTTGCACACTCCCTACTGGGGATATGCCCGCAACCAAGCTACATGCCCTTGACCGGAATCAAACCCGGGACCCTTCAGTCCCCAAGCCGACGCTCTATCCATTGAGCCAAACCGGTTTCGACTGCATTTCCTTTTAACAGTATTGTGTAAATCATAAGTTTTACTGTGCTACCAAGCAAAAATTCATGCAAATTTTTAAAAGTTAAGCTATCTTATGTCTGTATTCTTTCAGGGCAATTAAAGCATTTCAGGAGGTGCTTTATGTTGATCCCAGCTTTTGTCGAGCCAAGGAAATTCATTTACGGCTTGGGCTTATGTTCAAAGCGAACACAGACTATGAGTCTAGTTTAAAGGTAGGTTGTGGTTTTTCTCTAAGACACTATATTTCATTTGGGGATGGTTGGGTTGTAAAATGTTAGAGCTTTGAGAAATGTTAGAATTTATATCAGCACCTCAAAAGAAAATTAGGAAATATAAGTGAAAGAACTATCAGATATGAACTGGAAGATACAAATGTTGGGTTTCAGGACACAAAGTAGTTATTATGCTACGACATAGGTAATTAATTTACCTTTTTTGGGGGGGTTAAAGTTTTGAGGTTTGCTAACAGGAAAGGGTGATGCTTTCAGTTTCAGTGTGGACATTGGAAACACTTCTCTATAAGCAGTTGACCATCATAGAGGTCAGAAACAGGTGCCTAGTAATGGTGTGACCGAATCATTGGCCATTTATTTGTATTCGTTTCACCAGAAATCTTTCCACCTTTACCAATAGGGCATATTTCATATCTAAAATATATTTAAAAGTGTTCTCCGAAAGTCAGTTGTACCGCTGATAGATCAGTATAAACACTATTGGGAAAAGATAATACATTGTTGGTTAAGTATTTCACTTTCTATGGAAATTTGATGTTTTGTCAAATTTTTCATTGAGCTTCTTGTGCTATCTCTGCCATCACTGTAGATCTCCCTGGGATTTTCATGAATATAGTGCTTCCCTGCATGACAGAAGTGTTGCTTTTTGAAAGAAATCTAAATTCTAGAGAAAAGCTTAAATTTTTGTGAATTTATGGCTATTATGGTTGCCATGTTCTAAATAGCTCTGATGCATACTGTCTTGATTTTGAAGAGAGGGAGATAGAGAATGAATGTACCGTAGGTTATAATTTAAATTCACTAATAAGGAACTACAGAAAGTTTGTTTTAAAATTTTTAAAATATTTTTTTATTTTTTTACTTTTTACAGAGAGGAAGGGAGGGGGATAGAGAGTTAGAAACATCAATGAGAGAGAAACCTTGTTCAGCTGCCTCCTGCACACCTCCTCCTGGGGATGTGCCCGCAACCAAGGTACATGCCCTTGACTAGAAATCGAACTTGGGACCTTTCAGTCCACAGGCCAATGCTCTATCCACTGAGCCAAACCGGTTAGGGCTGAAAGTTGTTTTGGTTTTTTTTAAAGTGGATTTAAGAGTGCCTAATTCTTCTAGAGTTTTAAAGTAGACTGCAAATACAGTTTATAAAGAACAGTGCTGATGGTAAGAAAAAGAGAGACAACCGAAAACACTAAAACCAGTAGATTGTGATCTATTTAGATCACATAGTTGTCAAAGTAAGTTCAGTTTGAAGAATAGGCCTGAGAGGAAATGTGGGGAGTGTGAAGAAGAAGGATGCCTGGAAGTTATCAGTTTCTCCTGAAGCTTAGAGCAGCATTTCTTAGAGTATATTATGGGATATGAATGGATTAGAAATAGGATATAAAATGTGGCACCTTGTATATTTTACCCCCTCTTGGACATTCACAGTGTATATTTGATAACAAAGACTCTTTAAAAAATTAAATTATTTCAGTATTTTACAATGCTGTCACAACTCATGTGTGGAACAAGTGTCTTGGGTAGTAGATTGGTAAATGTTGCTTAGGAAATATATTTGAGTGGGAAAAAGTAATCATATATGTCCCAAATTGTGTGAAATGTGAATATCTCTGAATAATGGTACAGTGGTATTTTTAATAATTCTGTGGGATGCAAAGATCTGTTTTCATGAAGGTAGCATTAATTAAAATCCCCTTTAATCAGGGGAAACATGGTTGGACAGTGTTCCATGGTACTTATTCATATTCAACAGAAACTTGCCTATATCCAACTTTTAACTATATTCAGACATAGCTAAAAGCTAACCAAACCTTCAAGTAATGGCGATTTTAGCAAAATTGCCATAAGTGCAGTCTCCTTGTTTTGCGCCCCCTCCCCCCATTTAATTAAAACTAGAGGCCTGGTGTATGAAATTCGTGCATGGTGGGGGGGGGGGGGGGTGTCCTTCAGCCCAGTTTGCAACCTCTCCAATCTGGGACCCCTCAAGGGATGTCCAACTGCCCACCAGTGGTATCGGGTCTAAATGGACAGTTGGACATCCCTCTCACAATCCAGGACTGCTGGCTCCCAACTGCTTGCTTGCCTGCCTGCCATCCTGATCGCCCCCTAACCACTCCCATGCCAGCCTGATTGATGTCTAACTGCTCCCCTGTCAGCCTGCTTGCCCTCAGCTTCCCTCCTCTGCTGGCCTGGTCACCCCTAACTGCCCTCCCCTGCAAGGTTGATCACCTCCAACTGCCCTCCCTTGCAGACCTGGTCCCTCTCAATGCCCTCCCTTGCAGGCCTGATGCCTCCCAACTTGTAGTGGCCATCTTGTGTCCACATAGGGGCAGGATCTTTGACCACATGAAGGCAGCCATATTGTGTGTTGGAGTGATGATCAATCTGCATATTACTCCTTTATTAGATAGGATAGAAGCCTGGTGCATGGTAGGGGCCAGCTGGTTTACTCTGAAAGGTGTCCCGGATTAGGGTGGGGGTTCCCTTGGGGCGTGGGGCAGCCTGAGTGAGGGGCCTGTGGTCGTTTGCAGGCCAGCTGCGCCCGCTGGCGATGCCCTGGTATCTGGAATTTATTTACCTTCTACAATTGAAACTTTGTGGCCTGGAGTGGAGCCAAGTTTCTTGCTCACTCTGTGGCCGGCAGCCATTTCTGTTTAGATTTGTTTAGCTTCTATAATTGAAACTTTGTAGCCTTGAATAGAGGCTTAGGCTGGCAAGGGCAGGCAGAAAGCTTGGATTCCTCCATTGCCTCGGAAACCCAAGCCTCCTGCTTGCTCTGGCTGGCTTCCTGGTGGCAGGCATCTTTATCCCGCTAATTTGCATACTCATTCCTGATTGGTTGGTGGCTGTCATGAAGTGAAGGTCAATTTACATATTTATCTTTTATTAGTATAGATGGTTACTCTTCGATCAGTTATACCCAGTGTTTGAGCAGGTCTCTCCATTCCTAAATACACTGTTCCTATCTAATGGAGGAGTAAAGGGTGGGTAAAAGGAATAATTTGGTGTGGGTACGGTGTGAACAACTTGTGCATTACAAAGTAGGTCTTCTCTACCTCATTTCTGTTTCCTGTGCCTGAAGGAGGGATATTGCATATACAGTATGTTTTAGATGGTAAAATATTTAAATCAAGTACAGTTTATTTTCATAATAGATTCCTTCATTTCACCCACACATGAAATGCATTCCAGGGCCTCCTGTTTTATTTCTATCTCTCGTAATAACTTTTCTCCCAAAATGTAATTCTGAAACAGATTCGTTCTGTTTTTGGTACCATGTAAACAGCTTTCAGAGCAAGCAAATTTTGTTTTAAAATTTGACTCTGTCACATCACTAATTGTGTGACCTTGGGCAAGATGTTTAACTCTTCTTACCCTCCTTGCGTCTGTAGAACTGGAATTACTGTGCCCACTCCACAAATTCCTCTCATTTGGGGCCAGGAGGAATATTGTTTGCAAAATCCATTTTCTTGTCCTAGAATTTAATACTTGTGTTTTTGTCACTCATCCCATCCTCAGAAATGTTGTTAGTGCCCAGCTTACTTTTTAATTATATGCTGTTATTTTTTCATTATATTGGCTAGTAAAGATTTCACATGTTTAGTGAGTGGCAGAGGTACCAATTCTTAATTTAATTAGTTTTGTACTATCTGAATCAGAGTCTATTTCAGGTGACATTTATTTCTACGTGATATTTTGTTCTTTTTCTTCTCTGTTTCAGGTAATATCCCCCCAAGTGGGTTTGGTTGCCTGTTTAATACCATATAATTCAGATTTCATTTCATTACTTTTTAATGGTAGTAATGATAATTACTTACATTCATTATGTATTTGAGGCAGTGTACTAATATTACTTCAATAAAAGCATACTAATTTTGACAAATAGTTTTATATAATGCCTCTAATTTTCACATCCTGGCAGACTTAAAATTATTTTCTTCCTGTGAAGCTAATAAATGCAAAATAACATGTACTAAATCCATATTATTTAACTTAATGGAAGATCATATAGAAATTCTGCTTAATATTTACATTTAAGTCTTCCGGAAATGTGTCAGCATTAGAACTGTTTTGGATTTTTAAATGTAAAAAGGTGGCTTTTTAAGGGGAACCTGTGGAAAGTTGATGGGGATACCAGTATAAGTTAACTTATAATATGGTATTTGAAGATGATGATGTGATAGAAGGGGTTACTATGAAAGGGGTAAGAAGGTAAAAATGATAGAGAAAATTCTAAGGAAATAGGTTGGACTCAGATGTGTGTTAGCCTGGCAGGTTCTTAGTGTTTCTTGAATGAATAGATAAATGGAAAAGACTATAAAATGGCTCTTATAGAACGGGCTGGAAATACAGGGTAGGGAGGGGGCGCTGGTGACAGAGGAAGCGGCTACTTTTATCTGTCATCTCTTTTAACAGCTGTTTTTTCTTTACAAACTGACAGCACGATTCATTTCAGCTTGTCTCCCCTCTACTGTTACATATGACATGAAACTTCTGAGTGAAAAAGCACTTCCACATTCTTTCTGTCTACCTTACTCTTCTCCAAGAACTACTTCGTTTCCAGATGTCTTGTTTGATCTTAATACCCAATACAGATTCAGGAATTTCATTGTGATTTTTTTTTTTTAATGCTAAGATAATAAGGCAGAATGGTAAATAAAGGCATGATGATATATACTTCCTCTTAGAAAACACTTTTGAATCTGTGGAATGCCTCCTGTCTTTTATTTACTGTAGAATGCAAAAATCATTTAATTAGGATACTGTGAACTGTATGATACAAAACTTACTGAGAACTTGATGTTAGTTATTAAATTAATTTTAACCATGCCCTACGTTTCCAAAATATCTGTAGTATTTCTTTGTTGAAGCTTTAACAGCATATTTTTATTAGTTTAGTTGTCTGAAGATAATGAAATTTGCTCTTATTATTCCACTAGAAGTCCAGTGCACGAATTCGTGCACGGGTGGGGTCTCTCCTGGTCAGTTGGGGCTGTCTCGCCCAGTCCCAGTCAGGCTGGCCGGCATGATTGCGGGAGATTGGCCAGCCATGGGAGGTTATCGGTGGGAACACACTGACCTCCAGGGGCAGCCCCTATGTTGAGCATCTTTCCCCTGGTGGTTAGTGCTTGTCATAACTACTGGCTGGTTGTAATGGTCTCTTAGACTTTTATATATATAGATATAGATACCTGCTTCTGTCCTATTTCTTTCATGATAGCTTAACATATCCAGCTGGTATTTTGAAAATTCTAGTCTTTTAAAAATTTCTTATTGACATGAAGTTGACACACAACATTGTATAAGATTAAGGTGTACAGTGTGTTGATTTAGTGCATTTGTATATTTCAGTATGATTACCACCTTTAATATTTTAGAACTGTGGTGATCTATAACAATGATTAAGAAAAATAATTTGCCTTTGACTTGAAAGAGTACCTGAAACACCTTCCCTTCTCTTACTTAAATGGCCCACAAAAGCCTGTTTCGTTGGAGCTGAATAAAAACAAATTGTTTCCTCAGCCACAGTACCTCTTTTTTTCTCTCACCTGTATCTTTTGGATTCCATTATGGAATTGTCTGTTACACTTCTGTGCAATACCAGCTTCAGTGCGCCTTGTGTTCAGTTATGTATGCATAGCCACAGCAGAGTGCTGGCTTATCGAGTGAAACCTGATTGCCAACCTTTTATTCCTGAAAGGCTGTGTCTGCCACAATTGGATAAGTGGAGATAGTGGTGTCACATCTTGCTAGGTACTCTGAAGTAAGGTTTTTGGGGGCCAGCACATGATTTAAAAACTTTAAGATACATGAATATAGATATCCTTCCTTCAGATAGAAATCAACTTCCTCCCAACTTGTAGTGGCCATCTTGTGTCCACCTAGGGGCAGGATCTTTGACCACATGAAGGCAGCCATATTGTGTGTTGGAGCGATGGTCAATCTGCATATACTCTTTTATTACATAGGATAGAGAGGCCTGGTGCATGGTAGGGGCCAGTTTATATAAAACAAAATGCTATAAAGTTGTTATGAAATACTGAGCAAGTCAAAAGCTTTTAAAACAAAAGGTGACTTTGGTAATAAAGATGTCAACAGAAATTGTAATGAATCGAACCTTGTGTTAAATTGGACCAGAAGTGCTCTATAAAAAGAAAATAACTGCAGCATTAAAAAAAACAAAGTCTCAGGTAAATCTTTCTCTTGGCTTGGAAATTAATTTTCTATAGAATGCTTTCTGCCTTGAGGTTTGTATATGGTCTGAACTGCAAAAGCCTCTCCTGCATGGTACCTCACAGCAGTAATCCGTTTCACTGCCACAATATTTCGGGATGAGGTGCATACACAGGTATGGCAAAAGTAGGTTTACAGTTCGTTCTATGGGAAACGATACAATACTTAATAAATACAAGAATAAACTTTTCGTGTATTCACAACTGTAATTCTACTTTTGCCCCATCATGTACTTTCTAGCTGCTTCTGTTAGGTGCTGGATATTTTACCATGACATTTTAAGGCTTGGGTGTCGATTATCATAATAGGTAGTCATTTTTGCTGATTTGTATGTCAGTAGGTATATCTATTTTGCATCTGGTTTAGATACTGGAAGTGAAACCGTGAGGTCATGTTATCTCCAGTTTCTCATCGCCCTTTAATGTACTGAAAGGGGTATTGGTGTTTCTCTTTATGTGGTTTAGTTTCATTAACTTTGTGATTCTTTAAGTTTTTTCTTTCTCACATGCACGTTTTTGAATATGTACTCTTGCCCAGTAATTTTTCTATATTGTTGCTGTTTGGAAATGTTTGGTGTTTCATGATGGTGCTTCAGTGACTTCATTGCTGCTTTTAAGATTGATTAAGGATTATATAAAACATGGCCAAGAACCATTTCTGCCTGGTTTCATTGAATATTGATAGATGAAATGTAGGCTGGGCAATTTGAATTATGCATCTCTCTGTTCTTTGTGGGATTTCAGAATAATAATAAAACAAATACTGCCATCTTGAAGGTCAGTTTATGTTCTTTGATTGCTGTTAGGAGCTCTGTGTTATGTAAATATTAATTTGTGCTGGCAGGACATATTAGATTAGAAATGCAGTACAATCTAAACGTGTGGCTGCTGGGCTGCTCTTTTCGTATAAAGCATGCTTTGCTTTCAGAGTACTCACTTTTTAGAAGTCTGTTCCCTATTGCCATGGTAGCACACCCAAGGGATGTTTGAGGACATACCATCTGCTTAGTAGGCCGAGGGAAATAAAAGCTGTTCTCAGGGTGTTCAGGTGTTGGATGTACTTTTCTCTCATTCTACCCTGTTTCCCCGAAAATAAGACAGTGTCTTATATTAATTTTTTCTCCCAAAGTTGCGCTAGGTCTTATTTTCAGGGGATGTCTTATCTTTCCATGTGCTAGGTCTTATTTTCAGAGGATGTCTTATTTTCGGGGAAACATGGTATTAACCATGGCAAATAAATTTTTACTTTTGTTGATCATTGTATCCCTAGTTTCTACATTGTTCTAAGGGCATTATAGGTCTTGATAAATATTTATTGATTACATATTCAATATTTAAGGGTCATAGTCATTTTGTTTGTAGTTTGCCCATTCAAAATATTACAACTCTTAAATAGTAAGAGTACTGTAAATGTAGGCTAACCTGATTATGCATGCACATAACAGACGTTTGTGAATTAATGTGATTACTATGTCCATACCAACTGATGCCTTCTAATCTTTCTTTCCTTGTAACACTGAATAGCTGATACTTGTTTATTTTTTTTAACTGAGGGGTCTAGTTAACTAAATGCTGTTTGTTGATTCTGTGTTGAAAAATAGTACTAAAAACTTGCTGATGATTATTTCTCTTGATAAAGAAAGATGAGCTTATATCTAGAATGTCATTATACATTTCAATTTTCCCAGCAGTAGATAGGAATGAGCTTATTGTGGTCAATTTTTTAACAGTATGTTGGCTGTTGATTTTTTTAAATGCTAAAAATTTAAATATATATTTGTGAAAATATTTTTAGAAGTTAAAAGATGTTTAATTTTTTTATTTTAAAGATTTCATACCAATTCTAGTACTTGTTTGTGTCCTCTTAGCTTATATACCAGGCTTAATGTTGACAAACTAGATGTTACCCAGTGTTTTTTATTATGATTCGTGTTCTTAAAACTTAGTGTTATAACTGAGTTTAACATATTTTTGGGGCATGCTTATATGACATTATAAGTGGATGTTATAACTATTACACATATGATAGCACATTCTAAAAGGGTAATTATATGTCATAAATGAACTTGAACACAGGCTATTTATAGCCTGTGCATTCTTTGTAGTATTTCAAAGGCACTAAGTATAATGATTATTGAAGAATCAGTAAAGGCAGATAGTTTCACCCTTTATGATAATTCTCATAGTAATTTTTTTGCCCAGGAGCCTTTGGGGAATGTCTGACTAATGGCTTAGGCCTGCTCCCTGCGAGGCTCCTTCCACTACCGCTGTACTGGCCAGCCACGAGCCAGCTTCTGGCTGAGCAGCACCCCCCCGCCCTGTGCCGCACTGACCACTAGGGGGCAGCTCCTTGAGCGTCTGCCCCCTTGGTGGTCAGTGTGTGTCATAGCAACCAGTTGTTCCTGGGTGTTCCGCCATTAGGTTCAATTTGCATATTACCCTTTTATTATATGTACTAGAGGACTGGTGCATGAAATTCGTGCATGGGGGGAGGGTGTCCCTCAGCCCCGCCTAAACCCTCTTCAATCTGGAAGCTCTTGGGAGATCCGGCCTAAACTGTCAGTCGGACATCCCTCTCACAATCCTGACTGCTGGCTCCCAAATGCTCGCCTGCCTAATCACCTCTTAACCACTCCCCTGCTGGTCCGATTGCCCCCAACTGCCCTCCCTTTACAGTACTGATCACCCACAACTGCCTTCCCCTGCCGGCATGGTCCTTCCCAACTGCCCTCCCTTGCTGGCCTGGTTGCCCTCAACTGCCCTCCCCTGCTGGCCTGATCACCCACAACTGCCCTCACAGTCCCGACTTTGTCCAGAAGGTCATTCTGCCATCCAGTCTAATTAGCACATTATGCTTTTATTATTATAGAGAATACTTTTTATTCATTTGAAGACTAAAAAATCCAAAGCTTTTTTTTTATATAAACAAAAACATGCATAGGGTAATTAAAGTTAATTCTTTCCCAGGTTCTCCATTCTCTACAACCTGTCTGTTGCCATCAGTGAATGTTCAAAGTAATTCTAGTTGGTTGTCTAATATGGGTTGTTTACATACTATAGTTCTGTTATCATGTTAGATCTTACATATCTGAAAATTATTTTAAGACATATGTGACGAATTTAGTGCATTTATTTTTTTTACTTTCTTCTTACAGCATTTGCAGTTAGCTTTGGTTGACTGTAATCCCTGCACTTTGTCGAATGCTGAAAGTAAGTATTAATTGCCATAGTTTTCTACATATATTCAAATCACTTCACGGCAAATAGTAGTGGTAGTAATAATAATGATAATAGTGATAAATCCTGTGCGAGTTTTTTTCTTCTAGAATTGTTGGTTGCCATGGCTTCTTGTACAAATGGAACATGTCAGACCAGTTATTGTTAACAGCCTGTGTCTAAAATAGATATACCAGTGAACTGAGGGGTTGAATGAAAATTACCTGTACCAATAAGTAAAATTGGTTATTTGTGTATTAATTATATTGTAGGTGATATGGGGGATTAATAACAGGGTTTGCTACTTTTTTAAGAAAAACAAGTATGCAAAGATTCACATGTGGTAGCTCAGAGATTCCCAAATTACTGGTAATTATGAAGCTATACTTGGACTTTTTATTATATTTTTACACATCATATGTAAAGTTGGAGATGACATTTTTCAGTTAATTCAAAAAGAATTTATGTGTGAAGCATGTTCTTCAGTTATTTTCTGCTTCTATGTAGATTTCCTTCCAAAAACAGATTGGGTTGATTACGATGTGTTTATCAATAAGTATATATTGTCTTGTTTATTTAGTGTACTGTAGAGTAGCCAATAAAAGTTTTAAGAATATTCATTTGGTTTCTAGCTGGCTTTCTTTAAAACTTTCTAACTTGAAAAATAAAAAATTTTAATTAGAATATATATATTTTTTATTTTTTATTGATTTTGTACAGAGAGGAAAGGAGAGAGATAGAGAGCTAGAAACATCGATGAGGGAGAGTCATTGATCAGCTGCCTCTTGCACACCCCATACTGGGGATATGCCCGCAACCAAGGTACATGCCCTTGACCGGAATCGAACCTGGGTCCCTTCAGTCCCCAAGCCGATGCTCTATCCATTGAGCCAAACCAGTTTCGGCTAATTAGAATATATAAAAAGACAATCATTCTTAATGAAAACTTAAGATCAGTTAAAGGACTTTAGGTTTTGGAAAGTCAGTCTGTATTTTGCTATAAGTGACTGTTTTTTAACTATATAGAAAGGTGTTAAGTAAAAAATAGTATCAATGTTAAAAATGCTTAAGAAGGATTAAGTCATACGCTAAACCAGACCAATTATCTCATACTTCTCTAAGAGGCAATGTTTTGAGGAAACATTTCTAATTTCTTCAAATGAAACTTGGGATTTGTACTGATCAGTGTATTTGCAGAATAAATTATGGGAAGGTAACAATCACAGCAATATTTTAGTTTCTAAGATGGAGTTAGATTAGGAAAAGAATTTAAACTCATAGGTATATTAACTTATAAGGTGTTAATTTGTACTTTTTTCCATAAATATATACCCAGGTTATATAAATCATCTAATTTATGCAAATAAGAAAACAGTCGATTTTCATTTAATTTTTCATATATAGTGCCTTAAAGCCAAGTTTCACAACTACTTGTCAGTTTAAGTAACTTTTGAGGCCTTTCTCATAAATGTGAAACTAAATATTTTGGTAAATCCTCATTTTATTCTGCTCTGTTGAGGTAAGATCTCACTTATAGATCATTGTTCCTGAGTGGAGGACACCTATGTAGAGTGAATATCACAGGACAGAAAACTTTGCTGTCAAATTTGCAGAGGACAGCTCAAACCATCATGAATACCTCTTTGGGTTTACTGTGCCTCTGCCTGCTGGTTACTGAAAAGGGAAGTAGGCGGGAGGGGACTAACATCCTCTTTTGCGCAGGAGTTTCCCAGGATTCAGGACTTGGAGTGCTGAAAGGTTGGCCATTCTAATGGCAGGGCATGTGCGCTATTTAGAGACATTAGAGTTGAGCTGATTTAGGCAGATTATTTTAGACAGTCTTCATGATGACTTGGTAACTGCAGTAGTGCTGGTGTCTCACACAGCAATGTAGGCTGCCTCCTGGAGCGAGACCTTATTACTGTTTCAACACCAGGCTCTTTGTCTTTGTAAAACTTATTTCTCTTTTATGTCTTTACCTATTGTGCATGCCACATACTACCTTGAACTCTTCATGTTACCTTGTAATACTGCAAAAACAAGAAGATAATAGAAAGTAAAGTGAGCTTTTTAAAATGTCTGTGTGAGAGATTTGTACTTTATGGCACAATTCATTTATGCAATTAAATTAGTAGATACACTTGTTTCTGGAGCTATTTGAGAGGTTAACTACAGGTAGTGTTTTGAAAAGTAGAATTGTAATGATGTGAGAATTTTCATTATATGATCGCCCTTTGGGATAAAATGGTTTCTTTGAGATTTAAAAAAATTCTGATAATTCTGAAAATAATGTATTCATTTCTGAATAACGTTTAATTTCAGAAACCTTTCTGGCAATATTTGTTCAAAATTTCCACCGCTAATTGAGACTTGCCAAGTAGAGCTTCTTCTTAGGTCTATGCTTATGCTCTACTTTGCAGAAGGTTTTAAGAACGGAAATACATGGTGGTTTTCACACTACAAAAGATGACCTGGACTTAGTAACTCATGGGGCAGAGGGAAGCCTTTGGCATGAGGCCAAGGGGTGAGCCTAGTGGTAGTTTGGGCTGGTAGTATATGTGCCAGCTGGCTCCTGATCTTTTCTTCCTTGTCCCCTCTGTTAGAGGAGTAAGAAGATTGGGGAAGCGGGTATAGGTTTTTCATCTCTTCCGCGTTCCCTTACCCTGTTACCCAGGCTCCCTCCAGTGATGCAGTCAGGTGAGAGGTGGACTGGAACTCAAGGAGAGCTGTATTGGAAAAGGGGAGTGCGGGGAATAAGATATTTACATAGGTGAACTTTCCTTTATTATTTTTGTAAGCTTTTCACAAAACTAGTTTTCATCTTTTATTTAGCCTCGTCTCTGATTAGTTAACATGTGATATTTAATTATTATTTAATTGTTGTTTATGGAGTTGTGTAGTTCTTCACTTTTGACCCAAAAGTGGTATTATTTTTAAAGTTCATGATACGTTTTATTAGTTTTGATCTTCGTGGTTTTTGAGATCAGCTGTTTCCAAGTTGTAGGTGGTTGAGGGAGTAGGTATCAGAAGCCCTTGCAGAACTGAATAAAAAGACAGCTTTCCAGGCCTTGCCCAGGCTCACTGAATTACAATCTTGGGAATCTCTATTTTGCACAAGCCTTCCAGCCGAATCTGACAGTTACAGGATTCAGGCAGTTCATGGTGCACTCTCCAATAAGCAGTTGCTGGTAGCTATGGACCTTGTTTTTAAAGATCCACATACATATTCTGTACCTAATTTTGAAAGGCTTCCAGACTCCTTGAAATCAGCTATGAAATTCAGATAGACCATTGTCTTTAAATAATGAAAATGAGTATATAATTAGCTAGGATCCAGTTTTGATTCCTGATTCATTGTTGCTTTCATTGGGTATTTCATACTCTAGTGATGCATATCAAGAAGAGCTGAAAGTAAAAGCTTACATATTTTTATTTAATTTTCAAAACATACTTGTTAATCTTGTGGCTATTATTCTTGCCTTGCAAGTGGTTTGACTTAAAAAAGAATTCTGAAGAACTGATAGAGAAATGCAACAACTAATTTCATTCTCTGTGTTATTACCAGTGTGAGCCTGGGTCTATGACTTATTTATAAATGTTGCTGATATGAAATATGATATAAGAAAAGTACTACAGGCTTTTTCTGTTTTAATACGTTTTTTACAAATAGTGACTATTTTTCACCTACAACTCGGTTTTTAAATACCATGTTTTGAAATGTATAGATTATAAGAAATTTTCTTTGTTTAATGGGGCCATTTTGAACTTTCTAAGAAGTATACTCACTGAAACTAATACAAAATAATACTGAATATAAACTGTAACTGAAAAATTATTAAAAGTAATACTCACTTGCCAAGTATTTCAATATTTTAATAATTACATTGACAAAATTTGATAAACGACCAACAATGAACACATGTGGTTTATTATGTTTGTATGTATTTGTTTGTATATTCTATTTTATTAAAAATAAAAGTCATACTTCATTATTAAGTCTATATAGAATAGACCGTGATTATATTTTACTTTTTATATTATTACTTAATTTACCCCAAACACTTGTGTATTGATTTCTATTTTCCATTATCTTTGCAGTTCAATTTCACATTGCCCACTTGTATGAAACTCAGGTAAGTGTTTTAACTTATCTTACTTAAAACAAAAGTGATTACCCATATAATTTTAATGGGTATTACCACTTACATACATTTTAAACTTTTTAAATGTAGTCAAGATTTTGTTTAGTGAAGCAAAATAAGAGTACTTGCTCTGTACAAACTAATTTCATTAATATGATTTGCCTCTAACCCCGAATATCTACAGGCTTAAATGGCTATATTTAAGAAGATTTCTCTTATTCTTGATATGAAATGCCTAGTTTTCTTATCAAACTGTTTATAAATGGTTGTTATAATCCATTGTTTTTAGTTTCAGTTTTTTTTAAGAGTCAAATACCTCTTCTGTGTTTCACCATTTGAAAGGCATACTAGAGTCACCTTTTGATGTCATTATCACTACTTTTATGGGGCTATATTTAAAATACTTTTTCAGTTTAATTTTAGAGCATTGCTTTTATGTATGGCAGATTGTGCTTAGTTGTATAATAAAAGGTATAATACACACAGTGGTATGGGAAATCAGGCATAAGTTGGTATGAAAGTATTAGGTAATCATAGTTTACCCCAAACATAAATTTAATAACATCTTTTCTAGGCAGTGGTATGGGAAATCAGGCATAAGTTGGTATGAAAGTATTAGGTAATCATAGTTTACCCCAAACATAAATTTTATAACATCTTTTCATGGAGAAAAATACTGGTATATTTGTACAGGTTGTGTAAGGTCTGTTTTGTTTCAGAGCTACCATGGGCGCTTTAAAAAATTAACATAATATTTCTGGATACCTCCATCTACACACACACACACACACACACACACACATCCTACTGCTCTAGGGATATTACCTTCCTCGAGAAGATGCATGTGAAAATTACACACATGTTGTGGATCGGCATCTTTACCTGCCAATGCTAATCCCAGCCTCCTGCCAGCTGCTGACTTCTGCTGCATCAGCAAAGTCCCCAGGGTGAAAGCAGCTATAGAAACCAGCTTCTTCTCCAGAGTTCCTTCCCTGGGTTCTTAGCTCCTTCTGTTGTCATTACCTCAGGAGCTCCTGCTGTCTTTAAAAGGATGAATTCTAGTGTGCCCCCCCCTCCCCCAGCTTTTATAAAAGGATGAATTCTGATATTTTCTCCCCCCCCCCCTCCCCCCCAAGCTTTTTCAGTTCTTGGTGAGATCACTGGTCTGGCACTAGTTGAAGCAGAAGTTTTCTCACCTTTATTTATTTATTTTTAACTTTAAAAATATACATTTTTAAAAATTGATTTCAGAGAGGAGGGGAGAGGGAGGGAGAGAGAAACATCAATGATGAGAGAGATCATTGATTGGTTGCCTCCTGCACATCCCCTACTGGGGATATGCTCAGAGATGGCAGGAGGCTGGGATTAGCATTAGCAGGTAAAGATGCTGATCCACAACATATGTGTAATTTTCACACGCACCTTCTCAAGGAAGGTAACATCTCTAGAGCAGTGCCCTTGAAAAGAATCGAACCTGAGACCCTTCAGTCTGCAGGCCAATGCTCTATCTACTGAGCCAAACTAGCTAGGGCCTCAAGTATTCTTTTTTCTCACTAGTTTTTGAAGGTATTTTTTTTTTTTTTTAGCATTTATTAAGGTAATTCCAAAAGTAGTCTTCCTAAAATGTAAATCTGATCATATTGCTTGAATTCATTTCAGTGGTACTTCACTGTCCTAGGATACAGACTATGTAGTCTTTAGCATGCTTTAGGAAGTTCTCTGTGAAGTCAGAGTTGCTTGTCTCCACATTTGCTGCCCAGCCTGTTAGACTCTAAACTTCACATGTGTTTTGTCCTGGCTGGGTGGCTCAATTGGTTGGAAAGTCGTCCCATACACCAAAATGGTTGTGGGTTTGATTCTCAGTCAGGACACATACCTAGGTTGTGGGTTTGATCCCCTGGTTGGGGTACGTATGGGAGGAAACCGATTGATGTTTCTCTCTCTCTCTCCCTTCCTCACTCTAAAAATGAATAAAAACATATCTTTGGGCGAGGATTAAAAATAAGTAAACTTAACTTTCTTCCTCTGGGAGATACCATACTGTTATTGTACATAATACAGCATGTTTTACTCGCTTTTCTCTCTCTATGCTTCACTACACTATAGTCTCAGCAGTTCCTGTTATATACTAGGTGTTCAGTAAATATTTATCAGTGGAAGGAAGTTAGTTAAATAATTTGATCTTTGTCCTTCATTAAATGTCTAATTAACTCTTTCAGACCAGATTAATGTGTAGGGGGAACTAACTTAGCTGTAATAGTTATTGTTATTATCTCAATCGACAGTTCTCTCAAATCTTCCTCATGTTGAAATACTGTATTTATATAGTTTATTGGTTTTGTAGCTTTTTACTTATCTCATCTGATCGGTAGAACAATTCTAGATGGAAAGATCAGGCGTTACCTCTGCTCTATGGATGTTGGATTATAGTTTAAGTGATTTGCCTGAGGTTCATACAGCTTGCTTTCTATTTGATCATACTTTTTTGGAGAAAGATTTGTTTGCTCAAGCAGCTGTGTACTATTAGTGGTATGAAAAACGCCCCTTCAATCCATTTTTTTTTCTATCAAGTATGCTTTAAAGGTAATACTTAATAGGTTTTCTTTATTGGCTTTTCATTTCCCCTTTTTTGAGGAGTTATCTTAAGCTCCATGACCAGCAGTAATGGGTTTCAGTCAAATAGGACTTTGGGGAGAAAACTGTGGGTAAATGGTCTCATTTAGAAATTTGCCTATGGAACCTTAAATATTACAAACTGTAGCTATGGGTAAGTCGGTGTCTTTAATATCATATGTATTATAGATTTTTCTTAGGGTTTTTTGTTTGTTTGTTTGTTTGTTTGTTTGTTTGTTTTTAATATGCTGGTAACTATATTTTAACTTAGTTTTTAACTGCTTTTACCCTTAGAATTTGAAAAGTATTTTGTCATGTGCTCTGTTGTTCATTTAAGCTGCTTGGGAACTTGGTATTTCTAGGCAAACAAAGTTGAAATCATGTATGTTATTAAATAGGTTGAGGTGATTTTTTAAGTATTGAGATTTAGAAGATTCTTAAAAGGTCATATTTTAGTGCTACTTTATTGAATGTTTTACTTGTTTTAGGTACTTTGAAGCATGACCTATTACCCACAATTGTCTAGTGTGGAAGGAACATTTAGTAATGGAATGAGTACTTTTTCTTTCAGTTGGTTTAAAAATATGCATAAAATATCAGTATTGTGTAAATCTTAATATATGAGTGGTTCTTTAAGGATTTATTTTTCTTTAAAATCATTTTCTGTCTTTAGAGGAAGTATCATTCTGCAAAGGAAGCTTATGAACAACTTTTGCAGACAGAAAACCTTTCTGCACAAGTAAAAGCAACTGTCTTGCAACAGTTAGGTATGTATTAGTGTACATTTAGTATATTATAAGTACTTCTCTTTGCTTTTTACATGTCAGGGATGGTAAATATGTGGCTCGTGTATTCTAATTCTTTCCCATCTTTTGCCCAGAGTTGACAGAATTAATCTGAACCCAGCACTTTTCCCCCCTTTCTCCTTCCCTCCCTTCCTCCCTCCCTCCCTCTCTCTCTCTCTCTATCTCTCTCTCTCTCTCTCTCTCTCTCTCTCTCTCTAATATTTATTTATCGATATTCAGGGAGGGAGAGATAGAAACATCAGAGAATCATTGATTGGCTGCCTCCTACAGGCCCCCACTGAGGATACAGCCCATAGCCCAGGCATATGCCCTGACTGGGAATTGAACCGTGATCTCCTGGCTCATTGGATTGATGCTCAAACCATTGAGCAACACCAGCTGGGCTGAATCCAACATATTTTCACCCTTTGCCAAGCATAGTCTGTTTCACAGCCCATCTCATTACAATTCATTAGTGCAGCTATTCCTTTTAAATTCTCAAACTTACTCTCTAGTACTTAATCCATGGGTGAGGGACATCGAACACTTTCTTTATGTCAGGTATGGTCAGCACTCAATGCAATTAAATGAGTCACTTAGTGTTTTGGTAAGCTTGCTTTCGTAGCTCTATCAGTAATAACGAAAACCTTTTATTTAAAAATTATCTAACACTGCATATAGTTGTATACACATGCAGTATATTCTAATATCAAAGATGAAGGAATTGTAGTGTGTTACTGTTATCAAGGAGATGGTGATGGAGTTGTTGCTTAGTTATTATGTTTTTGTTTGTATTTGGTATTTTGGTTTTATTTATTTATTTATTTTTAAATATATTTTATTGATTTTTTACAGAGAGGAACAGAGAGGGACAAAGAGTTAGAAACATCAATGAGAGAGAATCATCAATCAGCTGCCTCTTACACACTCCCTACTGGGGGTGTGCCCGCAACCAAGGTACATGCCCTTGACCGGAATTGAACCTGGGACCTTTCAGTCCGCAGGCCGACGCTCTATCCACTGAGCCAAAAATGGTTTCGGCGGTTGTTTTATTTTTTAAGCTTTTATTTGCTTATTTTTGGTCTGGACAAATAATTTATTCTTAATTTATATTCAAGATAGTAATATAAATGTTTTCATAATGTGACATGTAATTTTAAATTAGTTTAATTTTAGATTTTATCACTTATATTAATACATATTGTATGATTATTATACAAAATAAATTCATTACCTTCACATAAATGTTTTGTTTTTCATTTAATCTTTAGTTAGAATTTTACTTGAGTTATTCATACTCTTAAAAATTGTAAAAGGATTTAAATATTTTTTAATGATTTATATGTAGTATTTGAGTAATGTGAATTTCTATCTTTAAACATAACCAAGTTATTGGTACAATAAAAAAGGATTTTGTGTTCTTAAGTACTAAGTGATGCCTTTAGAATAGCTTACTTATTCAGCTAGAGTTTGAATTTTGAATTTTTTATCCTCACTACTTATAATTAAGTTTTTATGTATTTTAGCTGTTGTAAAGAAGGCATCAATAGGAGAAACGCATACACCTTTTTAATCTAGGAAATGCATTGAAACAATTTTGGTTTTAGTTATATCTGAATCTCCTATCCTTTTTGGCACTAGCTTATAAGTGAACTTTTCAAGGTTTTAAAAGGAAAAATATTCCCCTTAATTGAGTCTAATTTATGCCTAAACATTAATCCTTTTACTTACTTATTCCTGCTGGTTAAGCAGCTCCTGTTAGAGCCTATTATTCTAGGTCCTGTTCTTAATAGTTGCAGGAGAGATAAGGGAAGGAACAAATGAGTAATCATGTGATTGGCTTATATTTCCATAAAACAGTGACTCAATCCTCTTAAAATACCTTTTGCAGCACAGCAACTGTAATAAATGTCAGAAAATAAGTGTCCTTATTTCTGAGGTGCACTGTAGTGTACACACAAAGAACAGAGTTGGTATTATGCACTTGGATTGATCCACAACTGAAATAGAATTTTCCAACAAATTAAACCAAATTATCTCTGTGTGTCTTTTGTGGTTTAAAGTACACTACTCCATGATTCAGTCTTTTATTTATTTATAAATAATAAAAACTATATTTTTTAAAGTTATACAACATGTTTTTAATATATAAATATATGTATTCTTATTGTTGACAGTAGTACAGGTGTCCCTCATTTTCTCCCCCACTGCCTTCCTCTCCACCCAGTCCCTGCCCCACCCCAGCCTTCCCAAACTATTATTGTCTATGTCCATGGGCTGTGTATGTACGTGTGTGTCCTTTGGTTAATCTCTCCTTCCCCTGCCCGAGATCTGTTATTCTGTTCCATGCATACATGCCTCTGGACCTATTCTGTTCCTCAGTTTATTTTGTTCATTAGATTTCACATATAAGTGAGATTATTAAATGTTTGTGGCACCCATTTGTAACATTCTTATTTGCACCACTTGAATATACTTTTCTTAAAGTCTTGGGTTCCTGTATTTGTTTTGTTAATTCTCGCCTGAGGGTATTTTTACATTGATTTTTAGAGAGAATGGAGGGAGGAGAGAGGGAGAGAGAAATATTGATGTGAAAGAGACATATTGATTGGTTGCCTCCCACACAAGCCCCACCCAAGGCCAGGGATCCAGCCCGCAACCAAGGTACATGCCCTTTGATCAGAACTGAGCCCGGGACCCTTTAGTCCACTGGCCAGCGCTCTAGCTACTTAGCCAAACTGGATAGGGCCCCCTGGGTTGCTTTAAATTGTCAAATACTTTATAGTTTTTACTTTATGCAAGTTGTGTATATATTTGGCCAACACCAATAATGTAGCGCACGCGTGTGTGTGTGTGTGTGTGTGTGTGTGTGTGTGTGTTTTACTCTGGTCTGTCATTGATTATATAGCCTTATTGGGTTAATACACTGTTTTGGAGATTCTTAAAATGAACATAAATTTTAATGTATAATTTAACATCTTTATATTTTTTTGGTTTATAATTTGAATATTTTTTTCAAATACCAAAATTAGGAGCTATAGTTTTTAAGTGTTAAGTCAGTGCTTAAAACTGTTTCAATTTCTCAGGCATAAATGTTCTTCATAGCTTTGACTGTACCTTCCTGTGAGAAATAGGCTTTCACATGGCCAGAATTGGTAGTTCAAAATTTTTGGAGTGTGTATACCAAACTAAATGAATTAATGAACTGAAAGAGTATTTTTATTTGTTTTCTGTTTGGTACTTAACAATAGAAGAGCAGTTAAATCATTTAGGTAAATGTTTTAATTCATTTACTATAGGTTGGATGCACCACACTATAGATCTCCTGGGAGATAAAGCTGCCAAGGAAAACTGTGCTATTCAGTATCTACAAAAGTCCTTGGAAGCTGATCCTAATTCTGGCCAGTCCTGGTATTTCCTCGGAAGGTGAGACTTTGCAGACACTTAAGTTTTGTTTTTGTTTATTTCAGCTGAGAGATTATGATCCAAACTGTTTGTTATGTTTAAAAGGGAAAATACAATGATCAGGTTGCAAATAGAAACTAAGATTTCTGGGAGTTAAAATATAAAAGAAAGCTTCTGAATATGGTGCTTTTCTCTGTGTGTCAGTTTAACAGAGCAGAGAATTTCTCATTCTGCCTGTTGACTACCGGGAGGCAATGGAACGTTGCTATTTATAATTTTGATTAATGATATATACCTTAGAATGGACATGTTTGATTAATAGATCTCATCACAGTTCTACTTGAAATCTTGCAGTGAGAAAGTAGATGTGTTATTGGATTTGTTGGAAAGGAGAAGCGTCATATCATGAAAATAGTTTTCTGAGAGTCTGCAAACTTCTCTCTGTACTTTGAATGTATGAATTATGTGTAGTGATTCTCCGAAATATACCTTATGTATGTTTATCTGATAGATTATATTTTGGATCATTATTAGGTAGTATTTGGTTTTTAATTGGTTTTGGCTTTTCTGGCATGGTGGGAAGATCAGTGTATTAGGAGCTGAGAAATAGGAATTCAAGTCTTGGCTAGGCCACTATTTGTGGAACCGTGGACGGTATAGTTAACCCCATGAGGCTTTAACTTTCCTTTAACCTATTAAATCAGAGGATTATATTAGGTCACTGGTTATCAGCAGGGGCTGTTAACCATAGGGGACATTTCATTATGTTTGGAGACATTTTGGTTATCATATCGATGGGAAATGCTACGGCATCTAGTGAGACAGCCCTGTACAATAAAAGACTACTTGGCCCCAAATGTCAGTGCTGAGGTTGATAAGCCCAGAGCCAGATTATCAGTTAGGTACCTTCCCACTCTGAAGGTTCAGTTTTATGATTTCTTTTGAAATCATCCTATTTTGTTTTATTTTTTAACTGAATTTATTGGGGTACCATTGGTTAATAAAATCATACAGGTTAATGTGTTGCTTTTAGATTTTAGTGTGGCCTGTGTCCTACATGTTTGGGATTTGTTGATCCTAATATTTCTGAGGCTTTTTATTATTTAACTTCTGCATTCAAGTCAGTGTTTTATTGTGAGAAATTTTTATAAATAAATTATAAATAAATTAATTTTATTTTATGTTAGTTTTAGATGTGCGACTTAGGGCTTAGATAATCATATACTTTACACAATGGTCCTCCTAATATTTTAATTACCCACCTGGTACTGTATATAGTTATTAAAATATTATCATCTGTATTCCCTACTTTACATCCTTGGGATTGTTTTTTTTTTCTTAAATCAATCTTTATTGTTCATATTATTACAAAGGTTCCTCATTTCTTCCCCCCTCCACCAGGTTCCCACCCTACCTTTCACCCCCTCCCCATCCTCCATTGTCCTCATCCATAGGTGCACAGTTTATGTTCCCTCGCTTCCTGCATCCACCACTCCCCCTTTCCCCAAAGAACTGTCAGTCCACTCCCCTCCCGTATCGCCGACTCTACTACAATCAACAGCTAATATTGTTCATCAGGTTTTTCAATCTCCTTTTTTTTTTTTTTTTTTTTTTTTAATTAATAAACTTTTACACTTCTAAGAATAAATTTTAAAATCTAATAATTTTAAACCTTGTTTTTTTCTGCCCTGGGAATTGAGAAGCAAACTTGTTTACATGTAAACTTGTCCTTAGGCTATCAAAAGGTGTAGCCATTCAAATGTAAATGAACAGGTTGTTTAAAGATAGTTGCTGGTTGGAATTGGATTACCTGTTCTGGGTGGGAATGGCTTGTCCTCCCCTTTCTCCATTAAAATTAAGGTGTTAGCTTTAAAACCTCTTTTTGGCAAGAGACCTTAAACTTTCAGAACTTAAAATTTTTCAGATAGTAAATCAGTTACTTAGCATTTTCTCAAATCAATAATACCTCCACATGCCCAAGGATACACTTCACACAAAAGACATTTCCAAATAGATCAACCAACCTCATCCAGACACCACACAAAGCACTCACAGATCAACACCCCAGCGCTATACTAATTCAACACTTCCAGATCTAAGCCTTCATCACTTGATTCAGCAGACCCTCAAGTTCCCCCAAAAGTTTCCAGCCATGTCTGAGAGGCAGCCCTGGGGCGGGGGCAGGTGAGGAGAGAGCTGTTTCGGGCCTGGCTGCTCCGGGCCTGGCTTCTGTTGCTCTGGTCGGCTCCACAGCCAGCTGCTCCGGGTCTGGCCACTGCCGCTCCTGGCCTGGCTGCTGCTGCTCTGGGCCTGGCTGCTCCCGACCCAGCTGCTCCTGACCCGGCTGCTCCGGGCCCAGCTGCTCCAGGCCTGGCCGCTCCCGGCCTGGCTGCTGCTGCTCCGGGCCTGGCTGCTCCCACCTGGCTGCTCTGGGCCCGGCCGCTCCGAGCCTGGCTGCTCCCTACCAGGCTGCTCTGGGCTTGGTTGCTGCTGCTCTGGGCCTGGCTGCTCCCGACCCGGCTGCTCCTGGGATTATTTTTTGACTACCAATTTGTAGTTCTCAATTCCTTCATATTTTTTACCCAAATAAATTATATTTTAGAAGCTATTGTAGCTCTGAAGGAAGACCTCAAATATAAGTAAACATGTTTGGGATTTATTGACCCTAATATTTCTGATGCTTTTTATTACTTAACTTCTGCATTCAAGTCAGTGTTGAAGTTTGAATTTGTTTGTCATTTGGCATGTGTATATCATATTGAAAGTGTAATGTGGCAATGCTGTTATACTGGTACTAGCCATTGGCTATGTTATGTATAGAGAGGTAGAGCTGGTAGGGACCAGGGAGGTCACCTAGTTCACCCTGTAAACCATATCAGTTTACAGATGTAGAAACAGAAAGAGAGTTCAGACAAAAAATTTTTTCCAAAGTCACAGTCACACAAGGTAACTAACGAGTCAGAGATCCTAGGTTCATCAGGTGCTTTTTTAATTACACAAACCTGTCTCAGGGGAACCTGGTTAAATTTTAGAGAAAACTGAAGCTGGCAATTGGATTGCGGCATCTGTTTGGGCACATTGGTTTTCTACTCTCACATTGTCGGCAAAAACATTGGTTTGGGGAATTACTGCTTATTCCTCCCAATAGTTAGACAAATTTATCTATAAACCTGAGACTTGGCTTTGATTTAACAACAACAAACAGAGCATGTTTTTCTATCTGTTAAACATTCCCTTTCTTAGTGGTACCTCTCACTGTTTCCCATTAATGACCTCTTCTACTGTAATTCTCCACTTATAAAATAGTTTGCAGATGCTGTCTGATACTTCTTTGTCTCATTCATTGACATTTCTTATATTGCCCAGTTCACAATATTAGTGATTGGAAATCACTGATCTAAACAATAATGTCTGTACACATGTTCAGATCCTTTACTCTGACCTTTTCCTTTCTTGCCTTTCTAAAGCCTTTAGTGTATACTGTGGTACTGCTACCCTAAATTTCTCAAACTGGTGATTAACTGTGCTAGCTATTTAATATGGCATCATGGCATTTATAATGTGTCTCTTAATTCTCAACTAAATTATAAGCTCCTTGAAGACAATGACTGGGTTTATTTTTGTTTTTTTCCTTTATGCCAAGCACTAAGAAGATAACTTCTTTATTTATAATTTCAGCTGCTGTTCTGTGTATCCACCAGGTACATCTGCATTAAAAAAATGACAGGTCTTGTCCTAGCTGGTTTGGCTCAGTGGATAGAGTGTTGGCCTGCGGACTCAAGGGTCATAGGTTTGATTACAGTTGAGGGCACATGCGCAGGTTGTGGGCTCAATCCCCAGTAGAGGGCATGCAGGAGGCAGCCGATCACACATTCTCTTTCATCATTGATGTTTCTATCTTTCTCTCCCTCTCCCTTCCTCTCTGAAATAAATTAAAAAAAAAAAAAAAAAAGACAGGTCTTTGAAACTTAATCATACTTTGCTACTCTTATGTTTTTGATAGTTAGCTTGATATTAACTATGTCTTTTGTTTGTATTTTTTTATGATCTAAAGAATTATTGCCCTCATTATTATTTAGGAAAGTAGAGTTGAAATCTGATTCAGCAATTCTTACCAACATAGAATGTTTTTATTATTTTTTAATTCTATGATTTTACTGTATAGAAACTGGAGATCAAGTTATATAAGTAGAGTGGGGTTGTGTGTGTGTGTGTGTGTGTGTGTGTGTGTGTGTGTGTTCAACTTTCAGTATTGTAAATATTGAAATGATAAGGCCTTTAATTTTTTCAATACTGTTCATTACTGCAGCACGATTTAGCATCTATGATAGATTATAATATAGTTTATTGAAATTTTAATTATAGTATGCATTATAATTATTATATACATAATGACAAATACTTTAGCTTATTAGGTTTTTCATATGCTATGACATATAGTCTATCCTTTCAGCAAATTAATCTGTAATAATGGAAATTTTTTTATTCTCTCTCCCCCTCCCCCTTTCCTCTCAGGTGCTATTCAAGTATTGGGAAAGTTCAGGATGCCTTTATATCTTACAGGCAGTCTATTGATAAATCAGAAGCAAGTGCAGACACATGGTGTTCAATAGGGTAAGACATTGCATAAAGATGATGGCATTGTAATTGATACACAAAAATAGTTGCATCACATATAATATACTTTGCAGCCTATATCATGTTATGAAGCTAAGCAGTTCTTCTTTGTTGACTTGTTTTTTCTTAATTTCTCTTCCCAGTGTGCTATATCAGCAGCAAAATCAGCCTATGGATGCTTTACAGGCCTATATTTGTGCTGTTCAGTTGGACCATGGCCACGCTGCAGCCTGGATGGACCTAGGCACGCTCTATGAATCCTGCAACCAGCCTCAGGATGCCATTAAATGCTACATAAATGCAACCAGAAGCAAAAGTTGTAGTAATACCTCTGCACTCGCAGCACGGATTAAGTATTTACAGGTAAAATTCTTAGTAGCAGTTTTGTTTAAAGGCATGTTTCCCATGACACTAAGGCGGGAGGAGGGTGGCTGGAAAGTTTGTCTAGTTGTGTTGATGTTTATAATTTGTTTCCATAGTTTGTAAACATACCATAGCTTATAATATTGTTTTACTTTTCATTTTAAGTAAGATATGCACTATTTTAAAAGATGCTCTTTTGCACATTTACTCTTGATGCATATTAATTTACATAATTTTTTCTATGTGCTGTTTACATTTTTAAGTTATCATAGCATTCTAAAGATAAGAACACGAACACTGTCTTTCACTCTTGCTCGGAGTTTCATGAGAAGACAGCTATGAGCACTCTTAACAACAGAGCTCAGCTTTGTTTTAATTTTCACTAAGGTTTATATTTCGGTTACCCTCTTTATACTTAGTATCTTTCTGAAACCCCAAATTAAGAATCTATTTTCTTTTTTAAAAAACAGTTATAGCATTTAGGAAAATTTAGTGGACTTGCTCTTACTCAAGTAGGCTTGTGTTAAATTTGCTTTCTACATAATTTTTCCTAGGCTCAGTTGTGTAACCTTCCACAAAGTAGTCTACAGAATAAAACTAAATTACTTCCTAGTATTGAGGAGGCGTGGAGCCTACCCATCCCCGCAGAGCTTACCTCCAGGCAGGGTGCCATGAACACAGCACAGCAGGTGAGAAGTTGGGTTCTGTTCTGCAGGTGCCCAGCTTTAAGGGTTCTTTTCAATCTGTAGTGGTCAAGTATATATGAGGAGGCTTTCATTAATGAGAAAGCCTTTAATTGTGAAGGGACTCTAGATCACAGTATAACTCCCTCTGATATGGGAAGGAATTTTGGGTGCCAAATTAGAACCTTTGCGTATTTTCATTACTTTGAAGGAGATTTCTTAAAATAATACTGCAGTTTAATTTTTCATGCAAGTTTTTCAAAGGAAGGTACACATTCCACCATTGATGATTCATTTGATTTTGATTTTCAATAATTGCAATCAGCGATGTCCACATAGCTTTGAAAAGTTTGCAGCTTGTAAAGTTTTATAATTTGAAGGAATGAATTAAGAGTATAGAACCCTATTTTTGTCTTCCTTCTGTGATTCTTAGGCATGCAAACCTCATCATCCAAATACTGAACCTGTATTAGGCCTCAGTCAAACACCAATTTCACAGCAATCCTTGCCACTACACACGATTCCTTCTAGCCAAGTAGATGACCTGTCCAGTCCTGCCAAGAGGAAAAGAACATCTAGTCCAACAAAGGTATATATTTTAGAGAAATAGAAAATCCTGTCAAGAAAGAAATTCCCAACTGCCCTGAACTTGTGCAGTTTGAACATCTCCTGCCTTTTATTTTAAATTTGTGGACATCAAAGCGTGAAAGGTTTGAGTTTTCCATTCCAAATTTTTAGTATCATATTAAATACAGAACGTAGGGATAACTTTGCATTCATCAAGTCATTTTATTCATCTCCCTGCCGTTAAGATTGCAACACACTTTCATTATCACTTTCTACTGACATTGAAATAAGTTTAATGTTGGATCTAGTGGACAGTGTGATATTTAGGTTAGCCATTTGGGACATAGTTTAGGGGTGGGCCTTTTTGGGTGGCTTATTAAAAATCCAATTTTTTTTTTAAATTTGTGATTTTTCCAAATTTATTATGCATGTAAAGCTATGTTTAAAAGTTAATATCATAACATCTTTCATATGTAAATATTCCAATCATAGTCATTTGGCCTCCATTAGTCATTATTTTTAAATCTAGATTTCACCAAATATCTTTAAGTTTCTTTTTTATCAATTTCTCACAGAATACTTCTGATAATTGGAGTAGTGGCCAAGCAGTGTCACATCCTCCAGTACAGCAACCAAGTCATTCATGGTGTTTGCCACCACAGAAATTACAGGTATGTAAGACATGTTTTTGACATACTGCTTTTCTATTAAAAAGAGTAAAGGTAGTAAGCTTTAAGATTTTAAAGTATTCTTTTTTTAAAAAATATATTTTTATTGATTTTTCACAGAGAGGAAGAGAGAGGGATAGAGAGCTAGAAACGTCGATGAGAGAGAATCATTATCCAGCTGCCTCTTGCACACCCCCTACTGGGGATGTGCCCGCAACCAAGGTACATGCCCTTGACTGGAATCGAACCCGGGACCCTTATGTCCGCAGACGCTCTACCACTGAGCCAAACCGGTGCCGGCAAGATTTTAAAGTATTCTTAAAGCTGAATAGCAGTAAACTCAATTAATATGCACATAAATAAGATGAACTCATTTATCAGACTAATAGAGATAATTCGTTCTTGTTTACATTTACTTTTAAACAGATAATATATTAAAATGGTTCACACTGTATCAATATGAATATACGGTATATAAACTCTCTTTCCAGCTCCTGGCCTAATCATTCAGTTCCCCTCCTAGGAGGCAGCCAGGATGAATAGTGATTTTTCCAGAGATATGTCATAGATACACAAGAAATATGCACCCCCTTTCTCAGATATTATCTTTTTCCTTTTTTGTACAAATGGTAGAATGCTATATATACTGATAATAATCTCTTTTACAGACATTTTCTTGTCAATATATAGAGAGTGCTTCTTTTTTTATGTTTACGGCATATTTCTTTATGTAGACGTCACACCTTTAAGTAGATCAATAGTTTTAGACAATTTTTTGTCCAACTCTTCCTATTCCAAACTGTGCTGCTTTGAGTTTACTTGTCACAATGCATTTTAAAAAAATATATATTTTATTGATTTTTTACAGAGAGGAAAGGAGAGAGATAGAGAGCTAGAAACGTCGATGACAGAGAAACATCGACCAGCTGCCTCCTGCACACCCCCCACCGGGGATGTGCCCGCAACCAAGGTACATGCCCTTGACCGGAATCGAACCTGGGACCTTTTAGTCCACAGACCAACGCTCTACCACTGAGCCAAACCAGTTTCGGCCACAATGCATTTTTAAGCTTAAAGAGCGTTCTGTGTGAATACTGTGTTAGAGAGTAAAATTTTGTGCTCATTTAACTCCAGGATCACATTGCACTAAATCCTCTTCAGATGACTGTTTATATTTTAAACTACTTTTTTAAATTGAGGTAAATTTAGTAGATGACATTATATGTCTCGGGTGAATAATGGTGTATTTTGACATCTGTATGCACTACAAAGTGATCACTACCAAACGTCTAGTTCTCATCTTTCACTTGGATCCCCTTCCCCTTTATGCCTCCCACCCTCCCCCTCCGGTAACCACCAGTGTTCTCTGCATCTGTGAGGTTCATTGGGTTGGTTTGGTTTGAATGTTTCTTTCTTTCTTAGCTTTCTCCAACCTCTTAAAAGACTTCATCTTGGGGTTGATTGCTATTGGTGAGAAATTAGTGTCTTTGACTAGAAAGCAATTCTGAGTTTATCTGGTCATTTCAGGGAAAGGTTACTTAAAATAGTGAACTTGAGCTTCTTAGATATATCTTTGACTATATTCTTTCTTCTTCTTCTTCTTCTAGCACTTAGAACAGCTCCGTGCAAATAGAAATAATTTAAATCCAGCTCAGAAACTGATGCTGGAACAGCTGGAAAGTCAGTTTGTCTTAATGCAGCAGCACCAAGTGTGTATAGCATTTCCCACCCTAAAATTTGATAGCATTTTGAGTATTTTTATTGACCAGAACATCATTTTAGAGCATGTTCATGCTGATTCCTACTTTCTCCCAGTATTTATAGAACTCAGTAATACTATTAATACATAGATATTTTTAGGAAAAGGGAGCTATAAATTTAATTTTGAACATAGGACTTGGTATTTTACTTATTTACATGCTATTTTGTATGTATTCTAAAGGTTTATTTGTATTATTTGATTAACAGGCTATGTGTCCTAAACTGAGGTGGAGTTGTTCAGTGTATGTTTAATTTTAAGGATCTGGCATATAAATGTAGTAGAATGAAATTTTGAGATTCTTTATTTTGTGATTGGAGAAAAGACAAATTCCAGAGCCATTTTCCATAGTGTTCAGCTGTTTTCTTTTGTCATTACTAAAGGGACATTTATTAAAAACAAAATTGATTTCTGCTTTTCTCAGGAAGCTAATCTAAATATGAACAAACACAATTTTTTGTTTTTAAGGTGTATTATTTCCATGTAGAGAGATTAAATGTTAGGGCAAAATCAGAGATCACTTGGCTATACACCTTCATATTCTGATTCTGTCCCTTGGGGCTGACAAGCAGGATTTATTATTTGTGTTTTTGCCAGGTGAGACAACCAGGAGTTGCACAGGTACGATCCACTGGGATTCCCAATGGGCCAGCAGCTGACTCATCACTGCCCACAAACTCAGTCTCTGGCCAGCAGCCGCCGCCTGCTCCGACCAGAGTGCCTAGTGTCTCTCAGCCTGGAGTTCGCCCTGCCTGCCCCGGGCAGCCTTTGGCCAATGGACCGTTTTCTGCCGGCCATGCTCCCTGTAGCACATCAAAAATGCTGGGAAGTACAGATACTCTTTTGATAGGCAATAATCACATAACAGGAAGTGGAAGTAATGGAAACGTGCCTTACCCGCAGCGAAACGCACTCACTCTACCTCATAACCGCACAAACCTGACCAGCAGCGCAGAGGAGCCGTGGAAAAACCAACTATCTAACTCCACTCAGGTAATGGGACCAGCTACCTTCCTGGTTTCTCACATGTTATTTGTCTTTATTTGGTTTTATGCATTTAGGCAGGAGAAGAAAAGTTTGAGGAGCTGGTTTTACAAGCATTTTTTAGTGCTACAATGCTATTCCTTCATTGCCACTTGGTATATACGTGCATGACTATATTTTCTTTTGCATTATAAAATTTACACACACACACACACACACACACACACACACACACACAATCTTAGAATGTTTCAAAGGAAAAGAAAATAGATCATACAGTTCCCCAAAACCCCCCTGTTAATTTTCAGTAGCATTGTAAGCATTTGTAATGTTACTTAGTTCATTTCTGCCTGTATTTATCTCTTAAGATCTGGTGCTATCCTAGGTAGTAGGTATTAATTCTGCTAGGAGAAAAAGACCATTAATTATTATAAGTTACTGTGAAGTATGACTTAGATGGAAAAGTGCTGTCAGAGTACCTAGGAGTCTTCAGAAATTAGGGGGATTGGGCGAGGAGAGTGCTGGTACAGTGTGCCTAGACCAGTGCGCAGAAGTTTCCCAAATGATGTTGCTGCATGATCAGTACAGTTGGGGATCCTGTATCTCTGGTATTAAAATAATTAAAGAGGCTTTGTCAATAATGTCTTATATAAATCTTTTCAAATGTTTCTCTCAAGTTTTAACAAAAACTAGACCATTGATATACCTGTATAGTATATCCACCTTTTAGCTTTGATGGTAGAAGGAAATAGAGATATGTATTGATTTACATTATAGTTTTGGAGAATTTATTCAAAGGTACCACTTGAGATATAAAAGAAAAATTATATGAATTGTAGGTGACTGTTCATTAAGTATTCTAAAGAATTTATAGCTTAAAATACCTTGATTTGCATAGATACGATATAACACAATGGTTACTTTTTCACTTGTTTGCATATTATATAACCATTATTATTTGTTAAATGATTAGCTTCTGAGTAAATATTTGATGAAAATGAAAATTTTGACTCATCCACACAGACTCTTTCTTGGATAATATTTTAAATACTGATATGCTTATAATACTGCAGTGTTTTTACTTTGAAAAGTTTTCATATAACTTAAATATTTCATCTTTTCACTGCTACTATGGCTGAATTTTTAGTTGCTTATTTAATCATTTAAAACCAGCTGAAACCGGTTTGGCTCAGTGGATGGAGCATCGGTCTGTGGACTGAAAGGTCCCAGGTTCGATTCCGGTCAGGGGCATGTACCTTGGTTGTGGGCACATCCCCGGTAGGGGGTGTGCAAGAGGCAGCTGGTCGGTGTTTCTCTCTCATCGACGTTTCTAGCTCTCTATCTCTCTCCCTTCCTCTCTGTAAAAAATCAATAAAAATATATTTAAAAAAAATAAAAATAAAACCAGATTGTACTTCTGTGCATGTTAGTGATGTGTATAAAGTTTTTAAGTATCTGGAATAGAAACATACCATTAACTTAAGATTTTTAGTTTTAGAGACTGGTTTTAGGAATATGCTTTCTGGTTTTAACTATAGTGATTTAATGCAGCTTTTAGTATGTAAATATCTTCTCATCAGCTAAATTTTCATTCCTTTATAGTTTATTACTGACATATTACGTTTCACCTAAAGTTAAAAAGCTTATAATCTTGTTGAAGAAATTCTCAACTCAAAATGCAGCAGTCCTAAAACATTTGCTGGGGGTAGAGGAGTCCATTTAAAATATGTTAATATAATTAATGATATTCTATAAATTCCACACAAATTACTGGGTTTGATGTTCTGAAATTATAATTTGGAAATGATATAATTATCATTT